GTGTTCGAGAAGGTCCTGCGCCGTCCCGTTGACCGCAGTACATTTGGTGGCGACGAGCTTCCTACTGGAGAGGAAGAGGGCACTATCTCACAGGAAGAACAAGAGGTGCAGAATGCTACTTTCTTGTTGCGCCTTCTTAAGCTTTAGCATGCCAACCAAAAGAAAATGTGTAGAGATAATATCTACTTTTTAACTATTTTTTGTTGCTTTGAATGAAATCATATGCACCTTCAATACCAATCAATACCTGGCGAAATCCAACCTATAATAATTTACAAATGCTTTTGCTTGCGCCGCCGTACCAAAACAGCCTCAAATATTTGAGTGATTCCGATGCTTCCAACATATAATCCAAGACTTTCTTTAGCCCTTTTTAGATGCCGCCTGTTGAATGGTTAGCTTGTCGAACAGCGAAGCACTCGCTCGTCACCTACCAGGTAGCAATCCTTCAGTCGCAGAAACTCCTTGGCGCACATATCTTTATGTACCGAGTTGTAATCAGTAACAACACACTTGCCGTACGCCGCAATCTATCAAGCTAGTTAGATCGGCAATGAGATGAGGTGAGACAGAAACTACACACCTCTACAGAGCATTGGGCTGAAGCCTTGGCAATCTTCTCGACTGGGCGAGTTCTTCCCGGCATCTTGCAATACGAGGTGATGATGCAGCAAATGCAAAGTAGCTTAACATTCCAATGTGAAAGCAGTAAGTAGGACCTCCAGAGCTTGGGAATCCAAGATTGTTACATAAGACCACGTGACCGTCCTGCATGTTTCTGTCGCGACAACCAAAACAACCCGCTCAACCGACCGTTATCTCGATTGATGGCGCATGGGTTGAGTCTATTGTTCCCATTCTTTTGGAATTGCTGATTGCAGAGTGTCTCTGTTCGCGCATGTCTTTGATTCTCCGCGCTCCCCGCTTTCGCGATGATTTATTTGGTCCTGCAGCTCTATGACCCAAATGCGACAACCGCGCCTTAAGATCGCGATTTTTCGATGCCTCCGATATCCTCTCAGCGTCAAGCCGTGACAGAAGAGATCTCATCTCTTTCCGACGACGGTAGGGCGCAATCAATCACTCGTTAATTTAAACGGAGCCTGACCTCTATAGATGTCGGCTTTCTCTACCAGGTTATCGCTGCTGCCGAGACAAAACCCGAAGCGGATCGACTCCCATTCCGGGCGCTTTTCGAAGCATATGACGAAGTCGTTGGCGAACATGGCGTCAACGCAGATCCAGGCCATGCATGCCTGCGCTTCCTGTTCAAGATGGGAAGCAAAGATGTACGCGGCGAGACTCTCTTCGACAAATTCGAGAATGCGCTCCAACAGATGGGAATCGTGATTGAAATCGGCGAGGACGGCTCTACCAACCTGAATGAGACACATGACTACGATCAATATACAGTGGATGTTACCCACAGCCAGACCGTTGACCGTGACCATTCTCCAATTACCAATGGAGTGCCACCGACACCCAAACGGCGCGCATCGTTCAACACCACCTACGACATTGGCGAGGATCCCACACAGAGAAGTTTCATCAATCGCCCTAGCTCTCGATCGTCAATGTCGCGGCTTGAAATTGGCAAGCCCCAGTTTTCTAAACCAAAACTGTCACCTACCTCCAGGCATAATTCTGAACCTAGCAAGTCGCCAGATCGGACACAATTAATCAGCCAGTTTTTGGATGTTGGTCGGCGGTTGCTTAGCAGATTTGACGGAACAGAAAACAAGCACGGAGTCACGGAAGAAACCTTCTTGACTAATGGAGTGATTGCGAGGTCGGCCGTTGCTCGTGATCGTTCAAAGAGAATGACCGAGGCCCCACGTCCCCGTCGTTCACCCTCGTACGATTCTTCGGGCAGTTCCGAATCCAAAGAGGTGCAATCGATCATGTCGCAGAGCCCAGAACACGATTCTTTTGACAAAGAAGAGGTGCCACCGGAGTTCATTTACCGCCCGCAACTTTCCGATCTACTTCGAGATGCATCGACCTTCAACATGTACCGACAGCGATCGATATGCCGTCGAATTTTGACACAATGGCTGAAAAAAGCTTTTCAAGCTCGACAGACTCGCCAAACCAGGGAAACACTCGCTGTCAATTACGATCGAGGCCTTCTTCTCCGACAAGCCTTTGATCCATGGCGAGCAGTAATCCAAGACAAACGCCACTCGGCTCGGACAGATCGGTTCTTCAAGCACCTTGAAGCGCGTGCCAGTCGCGCACGGGACTTATATCTAATGACCAAGGCGTTCAGCCACTGGGCTCAACTTACGTCAGAAGAAGTAGCTCGGACTTCTGCTGCCCGGAGACATGTACTTGGCGTCAAATATTTCAATGCCTGGCGCGAAATCACTGCCGTCAACGAGTTGAAGGCTCAGCGTTTTGCGCTACGGAGGCCTTTTAATGCGTGGCGGAAAAAGATCCAAGATTTGAAAGCAGCAAAAACTCAAGCTATCATTGTACGCAACACAAAGATTCAAAAAGCATCGTTCTGGGACTGGTGGTGGTGCTTCTGCGACCGGCGTGTTCTTGAGGTTTCTGATTATCGACTTAAGAGACGATCACTTCTTTCCTGGCTTCGGAATTTGCGAACTAATCGAGAGCTCGATCATGAAATAGATCTACATAACAGACAGTCATCTTTGAAGTCGATATTCCAGATTTGGTCTCATCGCTCGAAAAGCATTGCACTTGCAGATCAGGAAGTCCAAGCTTCTCGGCGCCAACATGACCTCAGAGAAACCTTTGATGAATGGAGGATTCAGTCTCGGCTGGCCCCGGCTGCTTCTCGGGTCTCTGGGATGGTGAACACTCGGATTCTACGAAATGCCCTTTCACAATGGATTGGCAAAGCCGAAATGTTCAGACAGGCAGAGGAGGTAGATCGCCGCCGAATACAACACAACTCGTGGGTTTCCTGGAATGACACGCTTCGCTGCTTGGCGCTTCGTGCTCGAATTGACGAGCGCGTCAAAAGTGAGGCGATGTACAAATGGGTCTTGATGGAAAGATTCGAGCTGATGCGAAGGATACGCGAACAACGCATCAAGCGGGAAGTATTCTCCCGATTTGTGACAAACACTCGGGATACTTACACTCGTTTACTGTCTCATGCTGAAGCTTATGAGACTCATCAGACCGAAAATTTGGTTCGATCTAAATTTGCCATTTGGCGTGATCAAATGCAACTTCAGCGTGAGCGGGAGTATGTAGCATCTGAGTTTTATGCTCCACGGCTTGCAGCTGAGTCTCTTGCAATCTGGCGATCCAAACATAATCAAGTGGTGAAGATGGAAGGTTGGGCTCAAGATGCTCGATTCTATTTCTTGATGAAGAAGTCCATGAAGCAATGGCATCAGGCTAAAGTGGACTCCGGCAAAAAACGGCGGCAAGAATCCTATGCTAAAGTCCGGCGGCGTATTAAGGTCAACCTCGCGTCTAGAGCGTTGGCTGTCTGGTCATCAAAAACTCGAGTCATCATGGAGATGGAGCAAAAAGCTGGTGATATTGATCGCGAAAAATTGCTTGCTGATGCGTCCGCGATATTCGTCCAATGGCACGACAAAACAACCATGAGGCTTCAGGATTGCCAGAATGCCGACCGTTCCTATTTCCACCAACTCGCGTTTGAGCAGATGATGCGAATGTCCGAAGCATTCATCATTCGGCGTGAGATGGAAGACCAAGCAGAGAATGTACACCGATTGCATGTCCTACGACTGGCAGCAGCTTCTCTTCGCAAGCTCAGCCTTCGTATCTTCCAGATTGGCAGTTCGGCCGAGACAGCCGAAGCCATGCGCGAAAGAAATCTGAGGAAGCACTCGAGAAACATGTTCCGCGATTGGCTAGACAAGGCTCAAATGAAGCTGGAAGCTCGAGATTCTGCAGGTCCATCCTTCACGCCCGCACGAATGTCAACCTTTGGAAATGGCGATGGCGCCGGATCAGCAATTTTCGACCCCTGGTATCAAGACCAAGCAGAAACACCTTTCAAAATAAGTGACTTCACGGCAACATCTCAGACAACCTTCCATGACCCGATCTCTGCAAGCCCCTTGGCAACCCCAAATTACACCTCTCCCTCTAAACGAGCCGCCCGGGCGCTAGCCCTCGCCCAAATGTCCACTACCCCCGCCACACCCTTACGCACACCTTTCGCAAGTCGACTACTTCGAGCTGGGACTACGACTGCACTATCCACTTCTTCCAAACGGCCGCGGACTGGTCGGCAAAGCTCGGTGGGAAATAGCGTCCGGTTTGTGGATGAAGAACCTCCCGAGTCTCCAACAGATGGTCGCAGATCAGCGACTCGACGATCTTAACGATCTTGTTCGGTATATGACCTTTCTGCGGTCACTTCAGCCTCATGTACATCAGCGATTGTTATAATTTTTTTTTCTCTCATACCCTGTCGATACGTGCGATCATGTTTCATTCAATGCATCATCCGGCGCAGCATATCATATAGCGGGTTTCAAGGGTTTCTGGGTCTTTGGTATACAGTTCTGCACTTTTGCCATGATTGAATGTGATACTCAATTTATGAAATGGGTTTTCCAAAGAACTTTCGTTCAATGAGATATAAAGTATAGCATCTAGTCGGTCCCGAGGTCAGATAATAGGTAAATGCTTATCGGAGAGCTCTGTATGATGTGCTCAAAGCTCTTGAATACAATTTCTCGCCGTAACAAATAGCAATTGCTGAATCCATAATATCAGTGATATTTATAGCCATACATAGCTGTGTTGTTCCAGTCGACGGTCATCGGTCACACCGAGTGGAGCGGGAGCGTAATCGACTCAGGTGGTATGTCTCTTCGCCTCGTCTTGCCCCCTGCGTGTATCCAGACAACTCCGCCAAACACCCATAATCTACCCTCCATTTCACTTGCGACTCTACTCCCAGGCATAATAATCTTTGACCTGGCAATGTTGTAACGTGTTTTCGAGCGCAACGAGCGTCAAGTCCCGAACCAACCATCTCTATGCGAGCGGTACTTCCGGGGAGACCCCCAGCGAAGCTGCAGGCGTTCAGCACGGCGCTGTGGGATGGTCTTCGTGTTGTTGTAAGTACTCTCAGATATTGCCGGATTCCCGCTCCAGCCCTGCGGTTCGTTTAAAGCTCCCTGTTGCTGACTCTTGCCCCCGCGCGTTCCCCAATAGGCATACATCTCCGGCCACGCGCTGGTTATCCTCGGCGGTCCGCAAACGCTCCTCCAAACGATTTACGTCGACGATACAGAAATCCTCGAGGCCGTAGCTTTTGACGAAACATCTGGCAAGATTGCTGTTTGTGGCGGCCCTGATGTGTTCGTGTACCAGCCATACGGCATCCAGGGCGAAACGCTCAAGGTGCGCCCACTACTCGGAGCTTGGTCGACCAGCAACACAGCTTTATAATGACAATCACAACTGATTTTAACATATGCCTTTATTTAGTGGTCGCTCCTTTATACATTCCGCGCCCCCGATGACGACGAACCGATCTATACACTATCGTGGGGTTCCTCGAACGAGCTCCTAGTGGGCAACTCCCGCCTCGCCCTTTGGTTTATGAATGACGAACCGCGCCTTGTATGGAAAAGGGAGCTTGCAACACCCGTGAAATTCGCGCAATTTTCTCCGGATTCGTCCTTGATTGTTACAGTAGGGCATTATGACCGTTTGGTCAAGGTATGGAGACGACTCGCCTTCGGCGCAGACGAGGTTCGGTTCGAAAACTCATACCTGCCCCATCCGAATGTCGTCACCGGGATACACTGGCGATTACCTCGGTACCCTGAGCAATCTATGGATAATGTTCTGTATACATTATGCGCCGATAACAAGATTCGGGTATGGGCAGTGACGGACGTTCATGCGCTTTCTGCCCTACAGTTCTGGGCAGAGATTGACATGGATGATTCGGTCCAACCGAGGCATGCGTCGGATGAGGATCAAGGACCACAACGGCGGTATGGGTTTATTTTAGATGGCCGCGACTTCTGCGCTGCGACGGAGCGTGCTGTTCAGAGGACCACAGGAAACAAGGAAAATCATGCGCTAGAACATATCATCGAGGTTGCGAGCAAGGCCCCGGAGATCTGTATTGTCACTGATGGCCGGGGCCATATGTCTGCTTGGGCTTTTGAAGATATCGGTTCTAAAGCAAAGACCAAGTTGAGCGTCTTCAATATTCTCCATGTCGAAGGCTTGGACTTGGGATTTGTATTCGATCAATCGCCGCAAGACGACTACGCTCAGATTTGTGCATTCCAGAGTACGCCATCGGACGACAAGCTCAGTGTTCTGGTCCATCACTTCGACGGTCGGATCGAGTGGTATGATTCTCGTGTGGATGTTCTGTTTGATCCTGCACCCCGCACGAAAAGAATCACCCAGATGGCCTCTTGGTCTGGCCATACTGCCCCTGTGAAAAAGATTGTTCGGAATGCGATTGGAGATACGCTAGTGTCACGTACCAATGAAAACAAAGCCACTGTATGGACACAGCGGCGTCGGGAAGGAAGATCGATCTTAGCGTACAAGAGTGTCCTCCTCTCGGATGAGCATATTCATCGGACATGTGTGCTAGAGAACATGAATCTTCTCGTCAATCTCCACCACAATGGGGTCTCCCTGTGGGATTTCAGCTCAAATCATGCCAAGAAATTGACTTCTTTGCCATTCTCACTGCCCGGCAAGCCACTATGTGTGCTGCAAATCCCCAGCATCCAAGCGACTCCAGATGTTTCCTATGTAGCAACAATATGGGCAGACATGCACGGAATTGCGTGGGAAATACGAGGCCCGAGTCAGGGATCCCACAAGGGGAGCTTTATAAATGAGCTTGGCTATCAAGTGCGAGAATTCTGCACCTTTGACATGGGGCTGGAGGAGGATGTTGCATATATCCTTCCCGTCGACCCAGCAGGCCCCAAAACAAAAATATCGGGCTTCTTCGATTCTTTTTCTACCGACATCGCTCTCTCCTACACCTACAGTGGAGTTGTGCGCACATGGACAGCCACGATCGATCCAGTGAATGTGAAGGTCGATTGGCTACTTCAATCAACCGTTGATACAGGCATCACCAACCCATCTATGGCTAGTGGGAGCTCTATTCGCAAGGCAGCTCTGGTTGACGAGGACCGGACTCACCTCACAATCTGGGACACCAACAATGCTCAGCTGGAATTTGAGCAACATTTTGCTCCTCATGACATTATCCAGGATTTGGACTGGACGTCAACACCAGACAAACAGTCCATCTTAGCCGTGGGATTCCCACATAAAGTTGTTCTCTTATCTCAGCTACGCTATGATTATCTAGATTCCCGACCCTCGTGGACACAAGTTCGGGAGATCTGGATCCGAGATCTCACACCTCACCCTATAGGAGACTCTTGCTGGCTGAATAACGGCCATTTAGTCATTGGGGCTGGCAATCAACTGTTCGTTTATGACAAGGATATTGACGTTGGAGACCGCCTAGTGTCTGAGCTTCGGATGCCATCTCGCGGACTATCATCTGTCGATCTCTTCGACGTTGTCAGCCGGCTGAATGGCCCGTTGCCTGTGTTTCATCCACAGTACTTGGCACAGTGCATTTTGGCTGGAAAGACTAGCTTGGTACATTCGATTCTCTTAAACCTACATCGCAAGCTGAAGTTCTATACGGAGGGCGATGAGCTAGATGGTTTCCTAGATATGCCGGTAGAATGTTTCTACGAGCAAGATGTAAGTGCGCGCTTTCTCATATCTCTCCCTAATACTAAGGAAAATCAGGGTTCCCAACAAGGGGTCTCCAAGGAAATGCGCTCTTCCTACGTCGATTCCACTGATGAGGAATTGCCGTCTGTCTTAGATGAAAACGCTGCGGCCGCGCTCAATGAGAGCTTAGCACGAATCGCCTTGCCGCAACTGTCTAGCCACGAACAGTTCCGCTTGGCAGATACCATTGAATGCGTTGCCATGGTTGAGAAGCACCGGCGCTCAATGGACGATAATGCAGCTCGGTATCTCTTATTTTTCCGACAACATATGCTGCGGCGGACCCAAGGAGTTGCCAATAAAGACGCTGTCTCATGGCGAGAGATTGTCTGGGCTTACCATAGCAGCAGCCAAGATATTCTCACAGATCTTGTCTCCCGGCAATTCAATGGAAAATTGACTTGGAAGGCTGCCCGTGAAAGCGGTCTCTTCATGTGGTTATCGGATTCCATAGCTGTGGTGCGTGTCTGTCACGTTATTTCATTGGTCACGAACTAACCAATTGGTTAGAAAGCGCAACTCGAAATCCTCGCCCGATGTGAATACACCAAGACGGAAGAGAAAAACCCCATCGATTGTACTTTATATTACCTAGCCCTCGGAAAGAAGAACGTCCTTCAGGGTCTCTGGCGTATTGCACATTGGAACCGCGAACAAGCAGCAACTCAACGTTTGTTGGCAAATGACTTTAGGGAACCGCGATGGAGGACATCTGCGCTTAAGAATGCTTATGCATTGCTTGGAAAGCGACGATTTGGTAAGTCGAGCATCATACTCTACAACTGATCACTTCCGGCTAACACCCAACAGAATATGCAGCATCGTTCTTCCTTCTCGCCGATCATCTGCGTGACGCTGCAAACGTTATCATAAACCAGATGGGTGATCTCCAGCTTGCGATCGCAATCACTCGAGCCTCCGAAGGAGACAATGGACCGGTTCTTCGGGAGATATTAGAAGAAAAGGTATTGCCTCAGGCCGCTTCCGAGGGCAACCGCTGGCAGGCCTCCTGGGCTTTCTGGATGCTTGGACGACGGGATATGGCAGTGCGAGCACTGATTGTGAGTACTTTTCTTCTCTAGTCGCCAGACCCCAATTAATCAAATCTAGTCGCCGGTCGAGACCCTCCTATTATCGACGACCCCAGCCACCCCGGGAAGCCCGGGGCGAGTAACCCTTCAGTCCAAGTCATATCTGTCCAACGATCCTGCCTTGGTAGTCTTATATCAACAACTCCGCGAAAAGACACTCCAAACCCTCAAAGGCGCCTCCAAAGTGCGACCCAGGGAAGAATGGGAATTCGTTATTCGCAATGCCCGACTCTACGACCGTATGGGCTGTGACTTCCTCGCTCTCGATCTGGTACGCCACTGGGAGTTCCTAGGCGGACTGCCTAGTCAGGATGTACTGAAGCCTAATACCTCCTTGGAAATGAACGAGAACGGAGTCGATTACCGGAAAATGCTTCATCGGCGGAGCAGCCTCGTAGTTGCTGATATGCCGGTGCGCCGAGCAGATGTCTCACAGGAACCCACACCCGGCGAGAAACCGAAGAAAGAAGAACAGAAAGCGAAGCCGAAGCCACCTCCTACGATGTTTCATGAGCCGGATGCCAATTCGTTGCTAGACAGCTTTGGGTTCTAGGTTAGGGACTTATTTATGTTGACACTGTAATATTTTCTGGATATACGTACGTCCAGTTGCTATCGAGTGAGAAACTGGGGCTTGAGCACATATATACCGGATAATGTCTGGCAATTTTTGATTTCCCTTTCCGTTTTAGTGCTCACCCCTTGCCGCTTTTTGCTCACTGAGTAAAACTACTCCGGCCTGCTCACTGAGCATCACCTGAGCAGACCCATCCCTTCACTGAGCACTCACGAGTCACCGGGCACTCAATGAGCAGCCTGATCCGCTCCCATATAGCTTAGTCCACGCTCGTCTCACGGGTAACAAGATATCTGTGGCGGACGATGGTACTCCGTGTCCCATTCACCACGCAAGTAACTATAAGTCTAAACCATCACACTCACAAACGGAACGTTTATCCACCCTACATCATTCAGAGTACACCCTTCAATGGGTTTTCCTTCATCGTCAATTCTGAACCCGTCTTCATACGGACTGTAATCCTCCCAATCCAGCCGAATAATGTGCACAACAGCCATACTCTCCCTTCTATCGGCTAGGAATGACTCTAGCACCTCTTGGGTTATCTGAATGCAGTACCTATATCGTTGCGACTCTTGGATTCTGATTCGGTTTGGATCAAGCTCAGACCCTTGTTCCTCCTGTTCGGCAGTTGACGCCCACCGCTTAAAGTGATCCCGAATCACCGCTGTGCTTGCGCTATCAAATTTCTATGGGTCGTCAAACACGGTCAAGGCCAGATTATCAAGTAAATCAGGGCCCGCCATATCTTCCAGTGACTCCGTAGTATCGGCGAGCAGACGGCGCATAAATTCTTTCCAGTCTGCGTCGCTCTGGTATGTAGAGCGGTAGATAGCAAAACCCCATGCGCGATGACCATCTTTACGAAGCCAACGCTCTATTTTGTCAGCAATGTTGCTATGGGAGCTGATGTATGGGTGGTGTGGAGATTGTTCCTGCACTTGGGGGAATTGAGCTTCTGGGCGCGTGTGTTTTTGCATAGGATTCGCCGGTGAAATTGACATCGATGAGCAGTATCTTTGTAGGGGGAGGTTCAGATGCCAACTTCTTTGCCCAGGATAGAGCGTGCGCGATGTAACTGGTGAGATGGTGAAGGTTCGAAATAGCCGGCTGGTGGGGCTCTTACTAAGAGCAATACTCGTTTTTTTCGATATGTGAAGGCTGAAGGTGTCCAAGCAATTAAACAATAGCATAGTCACAATGGTTCACGTGATTCGCGCCCATGTAGGCAATACAACTTACTTCACTTCCTTCATTCTAACAATTGTTGACCAAGGATCAAACCTAGCGAGAGAGTCACCGTGCTTTCATCTCAAATCAACTGTCTTGGGTTATTCTTAATACTACGTCTTATCACAGAAGAGTACCAATCGGCCTGACACGTCATGTTTACATATTGAGATTCGACCTCTCCAAGACCCCGGACATCCGTACGTATATTGTACTGAGTACAACATCTGTGTGATGATCTACCCTCACACAATGGTCAATACCTAGTCATTGCAAGGAGACTGCTACACAGTAGCGGTCAAGATGGAGAATCCAGTTTGAAGATGCAGAGTGGAAAATTTCGCAGATCCCAGCTGACAATTGTGTTGATCCCCATTGCGCTCACTGGCTGCACTACAGCCCGTAGCGCGCTTCACCTACTCCAGCAGCCCCAGATGGCTGCAGATGGGTTCCAGTTATCCTGATGGATTTGCCTATCCCAGTGCGATCGGCGGCGCCAATCTGCGCTATTACATCGCCAATCGCGCCGATCCTTCAGCTCCCACACCTTTTGCGAACGATGGAGACTTAGGCCGAGCGTGAGAACCCTCTTGCGCCAATGGCCTAGCTGCCGATCGGGAGACAATGCATACGTTCATGCAGACTAAAATCGAGAGATGATGCTCTTAAGACTTCCCCCGGCCCGCTGGGGTTTGAAGCTTTTCAGCTCTCTCTGACTTCAGACCCTTTTTTTGTATTCTAGCGATATATTTCTGGTCGATTTTTGTTCTTTTTTTCAGCGACAATGCCTACCAATATCCCAGGACCGCCCGGAGTTCCCCTCTTGGGTAATGTTTTCGACGTCAACCCCAACGAGACGTGGAACTCGCTCAACAAGTTGGCTAAGCAATTCGGTATGCCAGCAACCCAGCCCTAACGAGTGATCACTAATTTTTTAGGCTCCATTTTTAAAATCAATGCCCTCGGACATGAGATCGTTTTCATCGGCAGTGTCGCTCTGTTGGAAGAGATTTGCGACCAGACCCGATTCCGCAAGTGTGTTACAGGACCAGTGGTCGAAATCCGATATGCCGTGCACGACAGTCTGTTCACAGCATACGACTACGAGAAGAGCTGGGGTATCGCCCACCGGATTATGATGCCTCATCTTACGCAATCTGCGACCGACAACCTCTTCGGTGACATGGCGGAGGTCATCCCGGACCTGACCAAGAAGTGGAGTGCAGGAACCAAGACACGCACTCTGCTCACCAAAGACTTGGACCGCCTCCTTCTTGCATCCTGCATGCAATGTTTCTTCAACCAGCGGGTACACGTGCTCGAAGGCGCCGAGCCACCCATGCTCAGCGCGATGGACGGCGCCACACTGGAGGCAATGAAGCGACCCACCCGCCCCAAGTTACTGAATTGGCTTGTATACCAGCGCCGATTCGAGAAAGACACGAGGACCATGCGCGATTTCGCTGCGCAGGTGATCAAAACCCGGAAAGAGCAGCCAGAGACTGCCCGCAAGGACATCCTGGATGCGATGATGAACGGCGCCGACCCGGAGAGCGGCGAGAAGCTCTCCGAGTCGCAAATTATCGATGAGATTATCTCGATCTTTATCGGTGCCGCTACAGCACCCAACCTCGTATCCTACGCCCTGTACTACCTGATGGAGAACCCGAGCGAGATCACCAAAGCGCAGGAGGAGATCGACCGCGTGGTCGGCGACGGCAATATCGACCTAGAGCATCTGCAGAGCCTTAATTACGTTGAAGCCATCCTACGCGAGTCGATCCGTCTTTCTGCCACCGCGCCGGGCTTCAACATCGAGCCCATTCCTTCTGACGATAAGAGCCCTGTCCTTCTTGCCGGTGGCGAGTACCAAATTGCCCACAACCAGCCCATGATCGCGGTCTTGAGTCAGGTCAACCGCGACCCGGCTGTCTTCGAGGACCCCGAGGCCTTCAAGCCTGAGCGTGTTCTCGGCGAGAAGTGGGATCAGCTCCCTGCTGCCGCGAAGAAGGGCTTCGGTAACGGCAAGCGTGAGTGCATTGGCAAGCTCTGGGCTTGGCGGTGGTCGTTCTTTACTCTCGCCAGCATTCTTAAGGAGAATACGTTTGAGCTGGCGAATCCCAAGTATAAGCTTGAGTCGAACGGTGCATTCAGTATCAAGCCGCTTGAGTTATATGGTCTTGTTAGCCCACGGAAGTAATCTTGAAATTGTTTTTTTTGTTGGGATTGGGTAATGAATTTGTCGATATAGTTACATCAACGTTATTATGAATAGATCTTAGAATGGAACAAGCTTAACTCTATTTTTATTCTTATTTCTATCTTTATTTGTGAAACATGGGTAGTTCCTGGAGATGGGCTCATTACGTAGCGACTACGTAGTAGGCGATTGCGTATATACGCCACGCGGACACCCCAAAGTAAGACAAGTAAAGAGAGGAAGTTCTACAATAGAAAGAAGCATTGAAAGAATGTTTTGTATTTTTATAACCAAAAAAAGGACCAGCCTAAAAGTCTCTATATTGACATAGAAGCAGAAACCATTCCAGCTGGGTGTAGACCATCCTCCGAGATAGAATGATCAAGAGTCTATCTTCAAAATCATATCAAATCAAATCTCAAAGAAAACAAAATTTATCCGCTGTAATCAATGGTAACAGCCAGACGAACAGGACCAGAGGCCAAGTTGGCACCAATACCACCGACATCGGTCTCAGCAGAGGTGTAAGCGTTATTGACAGTAGCAGCGTCCTGGGTAACCGAAGAGCAAACCGAGCCAAGGGCATCACAGATCTGCATACCAGAGATAGACAGACCAGCATTCTGGGCAGCGATAACGGAGACATCGAAGCCAGACCAGCCACTGTTGGTAGTGGAACCGAAGTCGAACTCGCCCCAGGTAGAAGCGTAGCCACCGGAGGCATCAGTAGGGATAGTGGATCCGGAGGCGGCGACCCAGCCACCATTCGAGTCCTCGTCGAAGGCAATGTAGACGGTCTCGCCGGCGGCAAGAGTAAAGGTGTTACAGGCGTTGCCGTACCAGCCTGTCATCTGGCCATCCGGGCCGTACTTGTTGAAGATGGCGACGGTCCAGTCGTCGGTGTTGGAGCCCGTGAACTGCGCCACGTACTTGTAGTTGCTGGCGGACGCGGCGTCAACGGTGATGATGTTGCTGCCGTAGGGGTTGCCCACGTTGCCTTCGTAGGTTGCGCCTGAGCCGGAGGAGCTGGTGGAGCTGCCGAAGCCGGCGGTGGAGTACGAGCCGCTGGAGGGCGTGGAGGTCCAGCTGCTGCCGCTGGCGGCTGAGGAGGATGTGGCCTGGCGGCGCTCAAGGGTGGTGGGTAGGGCCAGGGTGCTGGTGGTGAGGGCTGCGAGCAGCAGGAGAGACTTGGCGAATTGCATCTTGGTGGGTTTGTGTGTTGGGAGTGTGTTGAGTCACAAATGAAGGTAGATAACCCAGTGAAGATATGAAAGAGTGTTGTGTGTAGTGGTTGGATTCGAAAGACCGTGTTGTAAAGGAATGAACGGTAGTACCAAAAGGAGTGTGGTTGCTTGAAGGAAAGAGAACAGACACGAGGGTCAACGGCAAGGGCAAGTATATATACCCTCGAAATCGACAGAGTCTTCTCCCCACCCGCCACGCTCGCCTCGTAGGTCGTAAGTAAAAGATGAACCGAAAGTTCCGGGTACCTGGCTCCATCGCAGCGAACCACTCGCGGTGCGCACTTGGGCATACGTCAAACCGTTGAAAGGACTCGTATACAGAGGGTTCCACAAAGGTCGAGGCCGTGGATTTGATATGCAGTTACCATTGGAGGTGATCTGGGGTTGGAGTAGATACATAGGTATAATCTGATTGGGCCTATCTGTGTACATTCTAAGCCACCAATGAATCTAGAATTCGAGATACTCCAGGGCATTCTTCATTGGCTACCCAGTAAAGAGTGGGCTTGGTCATTGATTATATCCATGGGCATCTGATGTCTAGAGCCATGGGTGGACCCGGAGCAAGCTCTGAATCAAACCAGGGAGGGGAGACACTTTCCAGGGTTTCCTAACTAGGTATTCTCCGCATCTCAATTGGTATACATCCAGGATGAGGGACTACATGACAATATTAGTATTGCAGATACGAGAAGCGAATATGACTGCAGAATGGAGACAAGGATGACTCGGCCTAGAAATTAAAAGTTTGCAAATCGCATTATCTGGGTCCAACTCCAAAAGATGCCCTAATGTGGGCCCAACGGGGATCAGATCGTTTTGGTCCGGGGCTAAAGGCAACGGAACTACCAGGAACTCAGATCCGGGATGATTAGAACTATGGCTGCATTATCAAGGTGAGCTATTGAGACGCGTAATAATAATATGGCATTGGCATTGGCATTTAACAGTTTGCTGGTTCATGGGAGTATGTCGGCCTTTGAAGTCGATTGATGGGATTTTGTAGAATTTGGCTGATCCGTGGAAATGACGTTGTGGTCCAGGAGACAAAGTAGCATGATTGGCTGAATATATGGACCTCCGGCCAATCATAGTTGATTGTATTGTCTTGGCAGGGCATGGCTTGTATCGTGGCCAATCAGAACCAACCCCTGTTACAATCCATGGTTTCCCATTCTGTTCCTTGAATTCTCTTCATTTGACTTTCTTCTGGAAAAGTCGCTTGGCCCTTCTTTATATGCAAGCCACCATCTTCCTTCTACCGGCTAAGATTTCCCTAGGTGGATCGTGTGATTCTTTCTGTGTTCCACTTGCTCCACGGCCAAGTCCTAACCCATGCGAATTCGGAGTAATAAAGAACTCGGTGTTTGAAGAGCAAACCTTGGAACAGACCGCGGGGTTCACGTTGCAATCTCTCAAATGTGGAAACAAGCCATGGCATGTTGGGTCCGGCAATCGTTTCGGATATTTGAACGAAGATTGGTCTTTTTTCGGCTTGAAACGGTGGAAAATGAAAGTAGACGATACACACCACCAAGCCCTAATGCGATGATCCCTATGAGACTTGGCCAAAATTGTGGGTTTCCGTGACAAACGAAAAGTCTACACTTGTAAATCTAGAAGAGTCTAGAAAGAAGTTCAGGGTCTTTCATCTTCAATGAAAACTTTGATTTCTGAGGCCACTTTTTTTACTTTCAAAAGGGCAGTATCTATTGCAATTCGCTGGTGAGATTTGTGCCTCAATAACCCACAAGCTAGGATGCGTTCTATCCACTAGAACCAATGATAGAATAATAGTCGCACCGAGTCAGTAACAGTCAATTTCGGCGCTATTATGTCTGTTTCATCAGGCCATTATTATACGACAATATCACGTGTAGACACTGCCCTTCTCGACTCGTGGCCAAGGGATTACTTCCAGGGATTTCCTAATGTCAAAGACCAATCAACCAGTATCAGGGCTCCAGGCCGTCCCACTATAATACAGGACTTGGCCAATTAAAGTGGCGGATGGAACTGCAGCTATGTTGTAGAGATGTGTGATTTGTATAAATCTTGAAACACAAAGTACAAGTCACACAAGAGATGCGATGCTGTCGATTTGATTAGCTATAAATCCAAATCCAAGTACAATTTCTCAAGTCAAAGTTCGGGACTTCAGAACTGGAAGGTTGCAAGGTATTGGTAAACCACAGGGAGATAGATGAGCAAGGAAGATAAGATCATTACTCTTTGGTTATCACATAGAAAATTCGTCTGTACGTTGTACGCCTTTCCCCGCCTTCGTTACTAGTATATATCGTAGTGCTAAATCCCGCATGTTTACTCCGTACTACTATTCCCGTTGCTGTACTTCTATAGCTAATTATTATTTCTCTAACCAAAAGCCGCAAAAAAACACCCTAAAGACATAATGTCTTTTAATCACTTCCAAGAAAAACAACCAAAAACATCTGAAATGTTCAGCAGAAAGGCGGTGCTCGGCGCTGACGTCGATATGCAGATCATCGGGCCAACTCCGAGAATTGACACACGCCATAACTTTAGCTGGAAGTCCGGGGATTCTGTACGGAGTATAATGTCCCTGAAAAAAAGGCATGAGGGGTCTATACCCCACTTCCCCAGCCCCCTCGCATAAATGCCTAATCTCCCCTTCTTTCGAGGATTGTTCTACGTACCTAGCACTATCACAAAGATGGCTTCCCAGTTTTCCTCGCTAGCTACACTGCTACTCCTAGGATCCTTCCTAGTGCCAGTCAGCGCGAGCAAGATTCCTGCTCAAGCGCAGTTGATTGACCAAAAAGCCTTCAATGTCCTGGACACGACCCAGCCCCCAACCGAATTCAATGCGAAGAGTGTACGCGATTCCTCAATCGCGGTTTCCAGTAGCCCCTTTTACTGACCGATGCGTAGCTATTTGTGCCTCCAGGGTCGACAGGAGACAGTCTAGCCCAGCGGCCTTTCCATATATACGACAAGGAATTTCTGAAGATCATCGGAGAAGCTCCAACTCTAACCCGGATCGCACATTCCCCAAAGGACCCTCTATTCCATGAAGCAGTTGTATGGTAGGTATCCAACACGGAAATAATTCCAGGCCAAGGGAAAATAGCATCTGACTTTACTTTCTAGGTCCAAGGAAACGGACGAGGTGTTTTTTGTCCAAAATGCAGGTGCTAAGAACGCCAGCACCGGTCTTAAAAAGTCGGCTATCATTGAGAGGATTTCGCTTGCGGACGCTGCTGCTGTCTCCCAGAAGTCGGATGCCGTAGGCCTTGTGGATGTAACCACCATTCCGTCATCGCCAACGATTCTCAATCCAAATGGTAGATGACCAGCTCTTTTTTGGTAGTTAAAGATAACTAACGGTGCTCAGGGGCTACCAATTACCGGGGACAGATCATATTCGCCGGCGAGGGTCAAGGTGACTATGAGCCCCCTGCTTTGTGGGTTATGAACCCGAGAAGTCCATTCAACGCTACAGGTTAGTACAAACCACCTCTTTGTATTTCTGGATTAACAAAGCGGTCTGTAGTTATCCTTAACAACTACTTCGGCCGCCAATTTAACTCTCTGAATGATGTCGCCATCCACCCGAAAAACAAAGATATCTACTTCACAGACACAATCTATGGCTATGTGCAGGACTTCCGCCCTGCGCCCGGTCTGCAGGATCAAGTGTACCGGTTCAATCCCGAGACAGGTGCTGTGACCGTTGTCGCGGATGGATTTGACCATCCCAACGGTAGGAGATCAAGAATTTGTACAAGCTCAAAAAGGAAAGCGCAACTAACAATGTAACAGGCTTTACTTTCTCTCCGGATGGCAAGTACGCATACGTCACCGATACTGGAATTGATAGCGGCTTTTTCGGTCTCAATTTCACCCGCCCTGCTTCTATGTATGTGCTAGTTTTCGCGATCCACTGATTGGATTTGAAGCTGATTATAGACTGTGTGTTACAGCTACCGATTCGATGTGAAAGACGACGGCACACTCGGCAATCGCAAGACTTTTGCCTTTGTCCACTCTGGTGCACCCGATGGTAAGTTGGGCAGTCAAGCAAGCTGAATTTATGATGTTGAGGCTAATTCTTGAAAAAGGCATCCATTGCGATTCATGGGGTAACGTGTATGCTGGCTGTGGTGACGGCGTCCATGTCTGGAATCCATCTGGCAAGCTCATCGGCAAGATCTATCTCGGATCTGGTACGGCGAATTTCAACTTCGCTGGAAAAGGGAGAATGGTTATCTGCGCCGAGACAGACCTTTACTATGCCACGTTAGCCGCGGCTGGGAATTATGTCGACAGTGAGATGTGAGAGCCAGAGGAGTGGCTGTAGCTTTCTATATTTAGTCAAAAAATAATTTTGGGTGAACAGGAATATCATAAACGGCAGTCATTCGGTGGTTCATAGAACGAAGTAAGAACTGAAATGTTGCTATGAATGGATTTACCAGACTTGGACATACTAGTACCAATTATACACTTGAACTGATTTCTCCGTAGATCGAAGATACTACTATTCAAAGTCCATGCTCAATAGACATCATGTCTTGATAATATAACGATGGCCTCGTGGGGCCATTAAAAAGAAGGATTCCATCTGGCTGTCATGCCATCTTTTGTAGAAAAAAGTTCGAGCATTGGGCAAGGCTCGGAAGAAAAGTGCCGTTGCTAGACGGAGCTCCATTCAAGCTAGGTGTATACCCAAACAAACTAAAACAATTAGCTCTATTGGTGACTCGACTCAAGCATTCGTAATGAGTCTCCAAATGTGAGTTCGCCAATGATGTCCGTGGCCATGAACAACCACCATTTGAACACATCAGTAACGCCATGAGCTATGATATCCATTGTAATTTTTTCCACAGCTATACGGACACGATTGGCTATCAGTGGCTCAAGGCGAGCCAGCGAAGAGTCAGAGATGGGTGACGCTAAAAGACGCCGGCGATGGGTATGGAAGTGTCTGTCAGTGGTTGAAAATACGGTGGGTTCATTGCCTATGGCCAGCTTGCGATAGAAAGTAGTTTTAAAGAATTGGCTATTCGCCTTGTGGGTCTCCTTTACTGCGTCAGTGTCGCAGATATCGATCTGATCTGGAATGATTCGGACAGTCGGGCCTACTTCAATGTCAGGTATTTACTTTTCATACCGATGATTGCTGGCAGCACATACCATACTTTTCATGAAGTTGATGGATGTACATCGGTACCGTCCCATTTAACCAATTGTATGTATAGTTGGCATCGGTGCATTTCGATATTTCGGGCCCGGGTATATGAGACAGAGAATTTGTGGGTCTACGATAGATGGTGCTCTAAATTTCGTATTTCAGTAAGACAGTAACATTGCATCCCCGTACGAGGAGAATTTGTTATACCGACCAGAAGAGCAGCACCAATAATGCATATTAGCCAGTGGCTAATCAGAAAAGAAGTAGATAATATCCCGAGTAGCTCCATTATATGCTTTGGGGAAGTTGCTTCTGATATGGAATCAAGCAACTATTACTACTTTCGAAATGGTGTGCTCGTGCCGAATTCCGATATTGCACACAACTTCCAGCTGTATTATTGACGTCCTTGGTGATTTGTTATTTCTACTATTGTTGGCTTGGGTGTCTAATAGGTTGGATACTCATTAGATCAGATCATTATATACTACATGGTGGAATCACACAATATAGGGTTTAACTGGTCTTCACGGCTGAGGATGGTCTTGACAACGCCTGTCTCGTAGCAGCATTATTGAAGTTGTTTGGGTTGATTCATAGCCTCATAGGATTCCCCTCATATATGCAAAGATTGATAATTTTGATATGAACTGCCCGGGTGGTCTAGTGGTATGATTCGCGCTTAGGGTTAACCCAAAGCATTAATGCGCGAGGTCCCCGGTTCGATCCCGGGCTCGGGCCCACTCATATTTTTTTTTCTTTTTCTGGTCCTTTACAGCATCTGGAAATGCCACAGATTGTCCATGATTTGAAGGGTTAAAAGGATACCCTTTTTTTAACTTGCGGCACACTTAAAACTTTCACTAACTGCTTTAGGCTATTATAGATTGCGGGGTTAGCGCCAACTACTTTCTAAAAGAGAAAGTCTTGTGCACTACTCCGTACTTGGAGACGTACTAATGGCAGAAGTCGTTCTCTATCAGGGGAAGGAGAGCCTTTGCTGAATGATCCTTAAAGTTCAAGGTTCAATTATGCTATTCTACGGTCGCTGGATTTTTGCTTTCGTTTCTAGTCGGAAAAAATTCATTGCCATATTTACTCACATACGATTTCCAGAGATCTATCATAACGATAATAGCGCTTTAGTCTGCGAGAACTAGTTCTATCTCGTTGGAAGAGGGAACAAAGATTTGAGGTCTGCCACCATTATCATCATCTGTAAAGTCCGACCTCGTGCTTTGACCATATCCCCTGAAAGTCACGATAGTATCAGCATGGGTTCCATCTTTAGTGCCCCAATCCCACCACCCAATCGTTGCGCCCTTGAACGCAAATCGGAAGATCGCACCAGTTCTGAGATGATCTGGGAACTCCCAGAGCTCATCATCCAAGGTGAATGACCCTTCCCAGCTCTCACTCGGATGTAGACATACAAAGTCTTCACTTTGAGCAACGTGAATCTTGGAAGGTTGATCATTCACAAAACCGGGACAATAATCACCATATCTGCAGGGAATCCACTGTTCGCTGCCACCCTGAACCCGTCGATCTAATTGATAATTTAATTCATCACGGAAGACATCGATGAAGAAAGTAAGGGGGCCGGCAGTGGTAAAATTGATATTGTTGACACCGTGATATGTCATTTTGTATCGAAATTCCATGCTTATATCGCCGTTTTGTCGCTTCAATTCTGTGGAGCCATTCTCGGTTTCCAGCGACACACTAAGTATGGGCACGTTGTGTCTAATAGAACCCTTGCTTTTGATTGTTGTCAGCATAAAATTATATATATTCTAGACTGGGAAAGCAACGTACTCCGAAATTTGGGATTGGGATGGCATAATGATCTGTGGCCGGGAAAATGTAAGTGTTCAGATCGGAGCACGGAAGATACGTCCAGAGTCATGGGACCTCGTACTCGTAAATGGTTAGACGAATGCCGTAATCCTTATCTGGCACTATGTATTATTCTTTTCGCCCATTCTGTAGTCGGATTTCTGAGACAAGCGTCTAATCACCGACTGCAAATATTTTCTTGTCCGTTGACCCTTATGCTTTCATCACTATAGGTCTTGTGCCACTTGGTGTCTATTCTTGTTTATCCTACTGATAGCGTGAAAAGTGTCGAACATGCATTTTTCCAACAGTGTCCTTTCCTTGCATTCTACTTTTGCCCAGTTTATCACCTCATCTTTTTGCTGGCCGCAATCATCGCCCGGGTTTTAGATTCCGCTTATTATCTCGCGAGTGAGACTCACGTTCCTAGGATCATATCTGGCCCTAGGACCCATAGCATGGTTCTTAGGCACGCTCTTGGTCGCTCCATGGATCAGACTTGTAGTTCCCAGAGATTCTACAGCTCCCGGGAGTGGAGAATAGAGCTTCGGGGAACAAGTGGGTTCCCAAAGCTACAGTGGGATCACCCATCGGATAATATTTAAATCAATAGCATAACCATACGTTCTACATCTGTTCCTGGCCCCCTAAGCACGAACCCCGGATTACGAGGGCCCTCCGGAATTAAAAAATGATTCCCAGTGGGGCATAAGGAATCTGTGATAATGAACAATAAGCTCAAGCTGCATGTGATACACGCTGTCTATATGAGATGGATGCTGGTGCTAGCTGCGGCTGCGCGAAGGGTGTACCGTGTAGCGAAGTGTCGACGATGAAGAGCTGAGGACTTCTATAACGTCGAAGAAGTAGCAGCGATGCAAGAGACCGGGCTCACGTAACCTCCTTGGGTGCTAAGATTACATGATAGTGATACTGATAGAGATGAATGCTATGGAGGAAGGTCTGGGCTATAAGAGAGCCAAGTAATTGCTTGAACAGGCAGTCAGCTGGCTAGGTCTCTCTCCTATGTATACACGACGTAGGGAGTGTGACATATGGTTGTTTTTACTTTTCCTCTTCCCTTCCACCCTCTTGCGCTGTCTTTTCTACTTTCTTTGTCAAGCCTTTTTCTTGCCAATGCAGCATTTTATCCAAGACATAACAAAACTCATGGTCTCGTCAATTCCCCACTTTGAACCCGTTTGAACCCGTTTGAAAATGCAGCACTGGCGGTCTCTCTCCCCCTCGCCCGGAGATGGAGCCCGGACTGAGCCATTTCTTTTATTTGGAGATATCCTTACTCCCGGACGATGAGGCACTTACCAATCGGTACTGCGGAGGGCTGCGGCAAGCGTGGAGTTTGGAGACCCGTGAAACAATACCTAGTCATTTAGCAGTCCAGTATTTCCCGGGTATGGACGGAGTTTGCTAAACGGGGCTGTCTTTTGAGTGATTACCCACGAGATGACAGTGTCACCATTGGTGAGGAAAGTTACCATTTTCGAATTGGCAAGCCGAAGGAGGACCGAAGTCATGATAATCGGATTGTTGAACCCGGACCTCAACTCTATCAACCCATGATAGAGTTAATTCACTACATTCATCTTCATAATATGCCTCAAGCATTAGAATATCGCATTCTTAAAGCCTTGGAAGCATAATATACTGCCAGTAATCTAGAAATATCGCGTTATTAGCCCGTACATCCAGAGGGCGTAAATTTCGAAACGGCCGTACCGTTGTCCGTGAATTATAACATGCTTCTAGGATTCCTATTTTAGCTATTTCCTTAGCTCGCTCATGCATATCCATAATGTTATATTTAACTATACGTATAGAAGTTGAAGAACAAAAAAAGATGAGTGGGCCCGAGCCCGGGATCGAACCGGGGACCTCGCGCATTAATGCTTTGGGTTAACCCTAAGCGCGAATCATACCACTAGACCACCCGGGCAGTTCATACCGAGAATTCCCACATTTGCCTACAAGAGACTCAATGGAATTTGCTGACAGCATTCTGGAGGCAGATCCAAACCACAAAGTCAAACGCTACCCAGCTTACGATCCAAGCCAAGACAATCAAAAGTATTGGCTTCCAAGGGTTGGCCGTCCCGTAGAGAAGAATCTTGTTAAGTTGGATTGATCAATCTAGTGATGTCAATTTACGAGTTAGATACTACTAATATATCTCTTAACAGCACTGCATGGGGATCTAGGTATCTGAGATAAGTTAGCTTAATCGGAGGGCAGATCTTCTCAAAGAGCTACCATACACTAGGGGCATACATAAAGCACACGATGAAGGCTAAATACCGTTCTGCTAGAAAGATGCAGAGCCGGGCTTTCATGTAGATATAACGAAAGGACGTATGTACAGGTGTTGACCAGTCCGAGAGCATGTATTTACGCTTGGGTATTGGAATCGGCCTTTATGATTCATATGAAAAGCTAGGCCAAGTTCAAGAATACCTACATATAGTATGAACCACTCGCGCTATACGACAAGGAAACATACGTGAGATAGAGCAGCTTCCTCGTAGAACGAAAGGTTATGCACGAGAAGGCTGCTTCAATATCCTGCTTTTACAAAATTAGCAGTTATCCTGTATGCGATGCACCGGTCTAAGATCTACCACAGGTCGGTCCCAAAGAAGTCGAAGTCACATCTCTGAGTCCGATAGAGCTCAGGGGAGTATCGGGCACCTTGTAAATTTTGTAATTAGAATGCCCTCAGGGCTGGCCAAGAAGCGTGACTACAGTTCATCCTGCATGTCTTTTTGCCCGAGTTGAACTCTTTGGCGGGATCAAGGTAATGCGGTCGTCCGTGTAGAAAGAGCCGGGCTGTGAGATACCCCGACGAAGGGTCCTGGTCAATGAACTCAAAATGCCTCCTTCCCACTTTCCGTAGTCACCCAATTTCTCAAGTGATGCCTTGATATCTCTCCAGATTTGACGTCACTAGAATGATGTTTCCATAGCATCCCTTGTGACCTACAACAGAGGACCCCTCGCGAGCGTTTCTTGCATGTGGATGTGGATATCGCTGGCCGGGTGGATAATACCGGCGTCAACAATGGGTTCCAGTGGCAATACGAGGAAAAAAAGCAGAATGTATGAATGTATTGTTACGACAAACATTCCATCCCTTCTTCTCCAACAATGCCCGAGATACGAGGTACGTACCGGCGGCGTTGCGAGAGTTCTTCGCGGGTTTCGCCGCCAACGGTGAAGCTTCGATCAGTACTCCGTACGGGGCATTCTCGTTTCCCACGGAGTCACGGGTCTCAGTGGAGTCCGTCTTGATGGCAAGTGCAAAGGTACTGTGAATCGTGATCCATCAACACACGAGAAGTATCCGGGTCTCCTCTTTCCAAGAACACCAGCCCCCAAAATATAGTCTTCGAATTCTTCCGCTTTAGATTAAATCACCACTAGGACGGGAGTAATCAGCCGTAAGCTTTTATTCAATTGGCCAAAGAGATCCGAACAAACTCTGGGGCATGGCGATCTGCGGAATGAGCTCATAAAGACGTTGTGGGGATCGAGAATGACGTGGGGTATGCAGCAAAAGACAACTCCTCCTTTTGCTCGCGAGTCATGGGATGAGGAGTTCGAGCGTTCGAGATTCCAAAGTTGCTTTCCGTTCATCCATGTAACCTCGGATGGAGTTTGTTACATCCAAGCGAAGGGCCGGTAGTCATAGTGATAGCTCCGCACTCCGCACTGATCCTCTTTTAGTACCAAAGTTTGGAATGGATCGAATCGATGATGTCTCACCTGGAAAAGGAGAACCCCTAGTTTTTCTAAAGTGCCAGTGGGGGGGATTGAGTTCACTAGCGATTGCGAAGATGTGGAAGCGCATTGTACACGAAGTGATTAAAACTTATATTATTATGTTCTATCATGAGATCTATTATATCATTAACCACCAAATTATGTCCAATCAGATTATGTCCAATCAAGACTTTTCTTCTCTCCAACAAATCTTTGGCTTCTCCAAATGTTCCAACTTTTTTGAAGAGAAAAAAAAATGCAAAATGCAAAAAGTCCTTACTTGGCCGGGGCCGGGCTGAGCTTCGCACGTAGTCGCGCTCCGAAGAAGAAGAAGCTGTAGGGAATGAGAATCATAGCAAGACCAATGAAAGCAAGCAGCCAAGAAGCCCACTGCAAGCCGAGACGATGATACATTTGCGTAGTGAACAGCGGGAAGGCTGCACCACCACCGGAACGCAGGAAGACCTTGGCTGCCAAGGCGGATGCAGCGTACTTCTGGTAAGAGTCGATGATGTAGTTGTTCACAGAGTAGTAGCACAAAACCATGCCGTAGCCGAAGGCAATGCCCGATGAAGCAGGGCCGACCCAAATGATATGCTTGTAGGAGGTCGCGCCCAAGATGAACAGGGCGATCGGGATGAAAGGCGAACCGAGCAAGGCTCCGTGGAGTCGGTCTTCTGGTGTGGGGGCTCGCGAGTCGCAGATTCTCTTGAACTTGTGCTCGATGAGGGGAGTGGTGACCAGGGCGAAACCGGCGCCAATCAGAATGGGGATCAACATGAGGCCGATCTGGCCGTCGTTATAGCCGTGGAGCTCGGTGAAGATAACAGGGTATGCGAAGAAGAAGGCGTAAAGCATGGCGTAAATCAGCACGATGTACATGCACATTAGGTCGAGAACGGGCTCGGTCATTATCATAGTGATCGGTCGAATCAAGCTCGTCTGAGCGATTTCCTTGAATGTGAGCTTCGTCTTTTCTTGCTCGGTGATGATGTTGGGGTTTCCAGTTTCTTTGCGGAGTCTGGCAGCGCGGCGCTTAAGAATCACAGGGGCATATGTCTCCGGGACAAGGCCCATCAGAACCATCATGAGACCGGAGAAGGCCAAGTTCACCCAGAAGAAGAGGTCGAGGCGGCCACTTCCAACGTTGATCCAACCTGTGACGATGGGGCCAAGCACAGGGCCACAGTAAGGCGCAGCAGCAAAGTAAGCAATGGCCATGCCGCGGTCCTCAATGTTCCAGATATCGGCGATAGTGCCACCAGCGAGGGAAAGACCCGAACTAGAGAAGACACCGCAGAGGAATCGACACACAAGCAAGCCACCGATGTTTGGGGACAGAGCGCAGGGAATGTTGAAGATGGTATATAAAAGCATAGAGATGATGTATACAGGTTGTCGGCCGATGATCTCGGAGAGGGGAGACCAGAGTAGAGGACCAACTGCGAATCCGCAGACCATGATGGAACATGTCAGGATAGCGACTTCGAGAGAGACGTGGTATTTGTCTTCGATCAAGCCCAATCCTCCGGTGACGATGGAGGATCCGAATGCAACACACACCACCAGCATCGAAGCGACCATAGTGATGTACCAGCGATAGATGCGATTCCAGTTGTAGGGGTGTTCGGGGTCATTGATGGTGAATGTTACGAACTCGGCAGGCCCGCCCTTTCCTCCCTTTTCAACGTCGACGTCGGCGTCATTGTCGTTTGGTGGGGCGCCGCCGTGTTGCGTGGAAGTCGTCGAAACATGGGTTCGGATCTGCTCCAGAGTTGTCTGGGGAACAAGACCGGTATTGGTTTCCACGGTATATTCCTCGGGGAACACAGGGTCCTGATCATGTCCAATGGCTGGGTAATTGTAATCCAATGGTGGAGGAACTTCTGAAATGCCGCGGTCGGCGAGAGTCTCTCTGGTTTCGGTCCTGGATAGGCGGGAATTCAAGGCCTCGAGACGGGGATCGAGACTGCGATCCAAGGGCTCGGGGTTCTCCCCCTCTTCTGGTATTGTTGAGGGCATCGTGAGTGTGGGAGATTAATTAGGGTATAGAAATAGAAAAGGGCTGTCGAGCCTATATATGAGTGGAAGGACTGTTGAGTCTATTGGAACATGCCAGGTACTTGAATGTAACACGGCGGATACTTATACTCCCAAGGTGGCTTTGTGAGAGTGTCATACTTTTCAAAGCCGACGAATGGCCGAATTAGACCGGACGATCCCCGGAAAAAGGGCGGAAAAAATACGAGAAAAAGACGAAAACATGGCAGAAAATGGCTCAGAACTGTGGCAATGGGGGCGGCAAAATCTCGGTCCGAGTGACCGCCGACCTAATTGAAAAAACGACCCACGGATTTCGGAGTCTAGCCCAACTTTAAATTGATGATATCACTGCCGATATGCCGGGCCCGTGTATTTGGTGTATTTTGTGTTTTGGGCTGTGAAAATTTCAATCCGATCAGGTTTTTTAGAGGCTCGAGCTCTCTCCGCCCTGGACGTGTCTGAATGTGTGACGTGCTCGACCCAGGCCGGACCCATCTCAGGCGGGGGGGCATGGCAGAATTGGGATATAAAGTCCGTCTTCGAATTCCGGTCTGGGGTTTGTTCATTTCTGTTTTCGAACCCCATACCATAGTGAATTCATTATACGGAGTAGTACTGACTTCCATAGCTTCCTGCTCGTTTAATCCCCGTCGGGGATGATACCCTATCTTCGTACTTATTTTCCGCCAGGGCATTCTTCATTTGGGACCTGATCTCATATTGACGCTAAGCAGAAGTCCGCCAATTGTCGCTCGCAAATCTGACGGCATTCTAATTAAACTTTCACGTTTCATTTGGATCTTCTTCTGAAACAAAAAGAAAAGGAGAAATATCAATTTACTGTCATTCGCATTCAAACGCCGGTATGCTAACAACTCATTGGATAATCTGACCGTTACCACGAGAGGTACTAAATAATGCCTAACTCGATATTCAAAGCAATGCAACCTTGCTTGAATTATATCCAGACAGTATTCCTAATCCTTTATCGTTACTCCTTTATTCAGCTATCGATCTACTGCTGCAAGGATCTCAATCAGGATCGCCCGCTATGTATGTACATAGGTACACTATCATAACTGCACAGGTGGGTCAGTGAACAGACCTTAAAGTGAGACGAATCTCCACCCATTGGGCCGTAAAAACCTACTGCTACTAACCACAACTGCTATTCAGATAATGATAATTGAGCTGTGAAGGCCGATATAAGCCAGTATCTCTCGTAAACGAATTCCTGGCACTACAAGACGACTAGAGTTAGCCGTCACCTGTGTCTGGCTTCAAATTGGCAAGGATCATTGGTAATAATAAAATTGGTGCCCTACGGCTTACGTGTGAACAGAAATATGCATTCGTACACTAACTACTCCGTACACCCCTATATCTCTAACATGGTATATACTCCGTGTTGATGTTTTGGTGGGTCCTGGGACCAAAAAAAAAAGGAATGGCGCCACCCGGAATCGAACCGGGGCTAACACAGATCATTGTTATACCACAATGTGTCGTCATACCACTAGACCATGGCACCCTATTGATTGATTGTTGACTGGAAATACTCCATAAAAGGAGCTTCATCGACTCCACAATATAAGCACAACTACATCGCTAGTTAAACCACTCAGTTGCTATTATATGCCTGTTTATTCTATTCAATTGTTAGATATATGTGATGTAAATCTAAATGGGTTCCAGTCATGACTTTAAGTGCCTTACAAAATGCTATGTCGCTTATAGATGTTCGAAAGAGTAAGTTGGTTGCAGATATATATCTACGGGGTTGGAGTTATGTCACAACTTTCACAATTTATGGACAATCACCGGTGGATCATATAAAGTAACTATTTGCAATTGAATAAGATCAAGTCCCCATAGAAAACTCAAACAGCACGCATGACACTGCAATTATTCCCTCAACATGTATCCAGCTGTAAGATGAAACAAATCCGAAGAAACGACCTACCCGACCCAACCTTAATGGTACCCTCCCAAAGGTCATGAGATGCTGTGTATAGTGATAAGCTCAGCCACATGAGCCGAGTAGCCGGGTATGTATTGGTTTCTATCTAAGGTATGCAACCCTAAGTAATCTTTGTTCGCTTGTTCGTAAACCCAGAATCTGGACGAGATCGCTTCCGCTCCGTTGCCTCCATTTCAGCTCTCATAATCCTCTCCTGTTCAGTCATTTTCTTAGGAGCTGCGAATATAGAGCCCTTCTTCCCAGCCAAAGGGTTCTTCTTAGCCATAGCAAACACGTTCTTCGGCTTTTGTGCACCCATGGACATCGAAATCTTGACCGGTGCGGCAGGCGCAGACGAAGCAGGAGCGTCGGTGCTTCCTGTCGGTGCATCTGTTTCTTCCAGCGATACCGTCGTCGTTGTCGTCGTAGGAGGCGAGGCTGGCTTCGTATCTGTCTTCTTCGAGCCGAGTCCAAGATTCAAGGTCATCTTTTCTCCTTCCTTCCTCTGCAATAATCTTGCCTCGGGTTCAGGGTCTGTCGTAGTGCCGCTAGCCATCGCCGCTTGTTGGGCTCGTTTGATCTGTTCCTGAATTAAACGTTGCTCTCGTTCTTCGTCTCCCTTCTCCTGGCGTTCTTTCTTTAAAATGGCCTCCCGGCGGCGAAGTGTGTCTGGACTGTTATCAATCCATGCTATGACCAATCCCTTATCGGTTTCCTCAACCCGACACTTTCCCTCACGTCCCAAATAGGCCGCAAACTGTGATAAGCTTTTCCATTCTGCCTCGGAGGTTAGTATTAGTCCTTGCCTCTCCTCTCCATCGGGACATACCTGTGCTGTTCATGTGAATGTGCTACAAGAAAGTCAGCTAGAACGAACAGGACAACAGTGTAATACAAAAGACATACCTGTTTATCAGCCACAATCTGATTATAGAAATGATTGACGTTGATAGGTTTAGTTCCATGCGTAGTTCTGAGGGTGTCGAGGAAAGTGCGCTCAAATTCGCGACTAAACTCTCTGATGTGCTTGCGCGGGTCTTCTCCAATGAGCATCATCTGTCGGACTAATATAAAGTTAGTCGGTGGCCAGGACAGAAAAGAGAATAGAGACCGTACCATGCGCTTCAGTCATAGTGTGACATTTGAAGCCGTTCTCATCTCGACATTGTTTCTCACATGCCTGGCAAAACCATCGAAGGCGACCCAATCCTTTGCTTTTGATCTTGTTGCCGATGGCTTTTGTACTGCCTGGTTCCGCACGACCCATTTTGTAGGTCGGTAAATGAAATTAACGTAAGCGTTCGGAGGAGGCGACGAGACAAAAATGCTTCAAAGGACCAATAGATCGGAAAGATGGTGTATGTTGAGAAGCGTTTGAAGAAAGTAGTGCGAGAAGCTTTGAGGTGGCGCAGATCAACGCGATAAGCCGATCGATTACATAACATATCACATGACATAGCCAAAAAGGCCTGGTCCCGAGCTTCCAAAATTGGTTAGTTGATTCCTTAATTCGATGTCGATATGGATGTATACGGAGTATCAGTGGATGAAACGAAGCTGAATACCTAGGTTCATTGAAATATTCCGACAAAATGAAGCAAAACTCCCCCAAATCCTACGCCTGCATCCCGATATCGCTTTTCTACCTAGGATCATAGCGTACGTAAAGAAAGATGTATTCCGGAGACAAACCAGCAAACCTCGCCAAGACGAAGGTATGTAGCAAAAAAACAACCAAAGAAATGTGCCATGAACCAAGATGGATATTAAATCACCGAGTCTGCAAGTATTACAAGATGTACTCGTGGATTGCAGACGGCCCGCTCTCGTTGTACTCAACACGGCTCATGTAACCCTTGCTGAGACCCTGATCAATGACAAAGAAAACCTTGGCGGCCATCTGAGCGCCGAGGAAAATGGCCTCTTCTATTCCATGGCCACCCTGGGATGTGCCGGACGCTCCTGGGTTACCCCCAGCACTGCCACCACTGGCGCCGGGAGCGTTGCTGTTGCCCTGGTCTTTGAAGTCCGGGAAATACTCAGGAAGCTTTAGAGTCTTGACTGAGGTTGGGGTTTGGGAGTGGCCGGTTGAGCGGTAGTGTGACAACATGCCGGGGTCCATGGAGGGCGTGCCGGGCATACCGGGGTTGTTGTGAGTTGCAGCCACAAGGAGAGGGTTTACTCCAGCTGCCGAGGGGTGGTACATCTGGCCAGGAGCGGGTGTGTTGGCACCGGTTGGAAGAGGGGTGGTGAAGTTCGAAGGAATTTCAGACGTGAAGATGGTGCCGGATGGAGAAAGTATGAACTTTTGCGTGATGACAGCCAGCAAGGCCTGTGTGAAACCTGTTTTAATGTTAGCGAAATAACCGAACTCTAGATAGCAATGATAAAACATACCCTTGACTTTGCTTCCACATCCAACGATAATTAAAGAGTCCCAAAGCTCGCTTCGCTTTGTAGCATCTGGAACGGCAAGAATAGTGTGGTGAATCTGAGTCGCAATGTCCTCGAGGATACCGCTGGTCAAGCGGTTTCCAACCTTCGAGCGCGGCGAAGTCAAAAGAAAACGCTCAACACTGACTTCAATATCTCGAGTACGACGAGTGTACTGCCGAGCACCGTGGGCTGCAGCCTTCTCTCCTTCCACCGGAACAAATTCCTCGAACTGGAAGGACGCCTTCTCTTTTTTCGAGTTAGGCAGGCGGGTTCCCTTGGGGTCAGCTGCGCCTTTCTTGGTAGTTGTCTTCTCCTTCTCGACATTGGCAAGGTATTCAGTGGGGTTGCCGCTGACAATCGCAGCGACATCGAGAACACCCTCATCATCGTCACCATTATCCCCCTCTATTCCTGTCTGAGTGCCGTCTCCTGGACCGCGCGGAGCCGACTCATCTCCTTCTGATCCGCCCGTCGAGGCAACAGCAGCAGGGTTGGCGCCCTGGCGAGCAGTAGCAGAGGAACCAGGCAGTGGGGTTCCTGGGGGAAGAATCTCAGTAATATTGCTTCGCTTGAGTTGCTCGCACATCTCTCTGGTAAATCCCTTCGGACCCAGCAGCTCAACAAGACGATCGGTCATAGCGTCTCCACCACACCCCTCCAGTGCGATTCCTCTGCCGTGTTCGTTGACCGCGAAGTCGGTCACAGCAGTGACATCAACCTTGCCCTTTCCAACATCGACAACAGTGGCGGTAGGTGTACCATAGCCGTAGCAAGCCGCAAGAGCAGAGTCCATAAGATTAAACGCGGGTGCCTTAAACTTCTCGAAGACGAATTGAGTGATCGCTTCGCGATCGCGTGCGGACCAGACGGGCTGACCAACAAGCATAATCGGAGTGTGGAAAGGTGGGCTCAAGGTATTGTGGATGTGAGTGAGCAGGGCGAAGAAACAGGGCCAGTCGACGATGCGCCCGTTCTCGATCGGATAGATTGCCCCTTCGTCGGATGCCAGGTCCTCCTCGTAGAAGACTTCTTCAATAGTCTTGGTTGACTCGTCATTATTCTGAGTATTTTCGTCGGTCTTGACAGTGGTCCCATCAGCAGCGGATTCAGCGTCCTTCATCTCCACGTCCGGCTTTGTGTCCGTGCCATTGTTGACCTTGACCTCTTGACGTCTCTCGAGAACACGGTAAGGCTCATATTCTCCCTTCTTCTCAGCAGGGAACATGCGCGTTGGGAACCGAAATCGCGCGGGCGTGAATGTTTCAGGCAGGCCGAGCTGCGCCAAGGTCATTTGCGAACCCGGCGCAATTAGCTAGACGAATGGTTAAAATTGAACAAGAAAATATGAAGAACTAAGCTTACCAAGATATGCTCATCCTTGAAGGGCGGCATCGTTATCAGTGGCAGTGACGAGCGTTGCGACGAGTGATGACTGCGAGCTCCGCTCGATTTGCGTTGGTTACTCTTTCTTCCCATTGTGGTTTAGCGTGATTTGGACGAATCGGAGTCGGTGGTTGGTCGGGGAATAATGTTTCCGAAGTTGGAGAGTTGAGGTCTACTTCTGCGAGGTGACAACAACAAACCGCGATTTACGCAGCCAGAACGTATTAACTCTGGAATATTTTGTCAATAACTATAGGTGATTTGTTACTTTATTGAATTTAGGATTGTAAAATGAATAAAAAATATGAAAATGATCGAACATGACATAGCTATACTATTTACATAGACAGGATATTACGCAGTACAATACAATATACACAGAATTTGTCTATAAGCTCAGTCAGAATAAGATCTATAGATATCCTCCAAACATCATGATGGCTAGCAAACTCGGTTTTGATTGAATATACGTTGTATGCCGTTCGGTCTTCTATAGAGAGGTAGACCATGCCTGTCAAACATTCAAATCATATGCAATTAACTAATGCATTGTGCGCTTTCACGCCATTAATAGTATATCCGCCCACAGCCTATCCCCCTAAAGCAGAGAAAGAAAAAAAAATCTGAAACCATATGAGGAAAAAAAACTCCAGACCCACATATCCGGTGGAACGCCATCATCCTTTGCACTCTATGACCAGCACGAGTCTAAGGTGATTCTATTCTGGGACAGCATGGTATTTGTCAGTCGCTGATCGGAATAGCTCCTGCTGTTGCCTTAGAAGCTCCTCTTCTGTCAGACCACTTTGCTCCATCTTGCTCTGCTTCTTCTCTCGTGACTATAATTCAGATGAGAGGTCAGCCTGCGCTCGAAGCTATCACAATCCCAAGAAAAATATGAACATACCTTCAGCTGCTGCTTATGCTCTTCGGCAACAGCGAGTACATCGGCAATATAATCACTGAAACCGAGATCCCGTAATGCCTTCTCCACATGTTCACAAGCGATGGTCTTCTTGGCCTCCTTCTCGCTGATATCGTTTGCTTCGGAGGAGATCAGTGTAATAAATTCGACACAGCATTCCATGAGCAAGTCGCGCGCATCCTTGGAGAAGGTTTGGCCGGAGCTAGGTGGTAAAATCTCGGTGATAATCTTTTGGACCGTCGCTATTAGATAAGTTAGCAAATGCTAACAAACACGTATGACAAGTGTATAGGCGGTGAAGCGGTAAGAACCTCAAAAAGAGCTGTACACATTCACAAGGTTATTGTACCGTACCTTTAGGCAGAGATAGGTCATCGTTTGCTATTCACGTACAGGTCAGCAGGTTGCGCGTAGGCGGCCAAGATCTAGAGATCACTTACAGTTGAATTCTCGGTCAGACATGGCGAATCAGATGATATAGTGATAGACAACAAAAGAACAAATGTCAGATCGAGGGAGAGGCGCAAAAGGGATGCTTTAATTTCTTTGATCTTTTGCGTGGGGCTCAAAGTTTCAAGGCCCATCGCAGGCGCGCGACGGAGTTAAGTACAATTTCTTGCCGGCAGAATACTACCGCTTTGGACCACATAAATTGCGCTGAATTTTCTTTTCCGTTGACATCTTCTTCATCAGTCTTCAATCTCCTCCAACTACCTTGGAAAGAGTCCTTCAAATGAGATCGACTCCTTCCGAGGCCACACACTAATGGTAAGCTCTTGTTCAAATCCCTTTTCCCAATTTCTATCATGATGAACTTTGCTTGTCGCCCCTATCATACATTCTATGGTGACCTTACCTGTCCTAGCCAAACGGACTATCTGATCTCTATCAATTCTGCACATTTGCATCTCACTTCATTTGTTTGAAACGGTTGCTAACTTTATTGAAGAATTTGCAGGAATTCCATCTCTTGTTATTGTAGCTTGGAACTCGTTTCTGCTTGGATGACATCCACAGAACACATTTGGAGGACGGGGATATTTACATCTGTATCTAAAGGTACGCGCATAATATTTGCTATATTTTCAGTTCCAATTACATGATGTATACCCTTACATTCCATGCTAAACATGAAGGTGCACTGCGCCTAATGCTTATAAAATGTATTGCTTTTCATCTTTCGACTGACTTGTAAACCATTGCTGCCTCACATTTACATTCATTGTTCTATGGCGATCGTTACTGACTTGCTATAAAGATTACAGATATGAACCAGAATTTTATACTAGCTATCAATGATATTATTATTCCTGGAAAACCTCGAGCTCCTTGTCGTTCCATCTGCCAATTATTAGTATTTCTCGCGTAATATGTGTAGGACAGCACATACGAATAGAAACGACCGCTGATTTCCTTGGGCGCATCGAGTACCAGCTTGGCCATGACATGGCCGGGCTGCTCGGGTTTGAGGAGCTTGCCGTTCTTGTGGACTCCAGTGAACTTGGAGTGCATTTCAGCGTCCAAGGCTGTGCCATGGTCCTCCCGCAGGGCACGCTGCATCTCGGTGTCGACCATACCAGGTCTGATAGACACGGAGGTGACATCGGGTTCTTCGGCACCCAGGCTCATGGCAAAGTTGTTCATGGCGGCTTTGGTGGCAGCATATAGAGCCCAACCACGGTAAGCGTTGACTGCAGCGCCGGAAGACGTGAAGATAATTTTTCCTTTGGACTCACGGAGAGCCGGTAGAGCCGCTTTGGCCTAGTTCCCGTTAGTAGTGCATGGTAGATTTGATGTAGGTCCCGTACAAAGGCAACTAAGCTGATAAAGTTGACATCAAAGCCTTCCTTCCACTGCTGCGGATCAGCGTCGGCGATTTTGCCGACCTGGCCTAGCAGGCCGTGATTAAGGACCATTCCATCGAGCTGACCGAAGGTCTTGATAGCTTTATCGACGGCCTGTTGGGCAAGAGAAAAGTCGGACAGATCGCCATTCAGGATTGCCACCTGGTTGCCGTATTGCTCCTTGAGCTTTTGGAGGGGTTCAACGCTGCGGGCTACCACCACCACATTGTGGGATTGAGGTGCGGTGAGCAGATACTTGGCCACAGCAAGACCGATACCTGGTTGATGTCAGTCTATCATTATGCACAAAGTTTGAGGGGTGTACCTCTTGAAGCTCCTGTGACAATGATGGTTTTGGCTGCCATTTTGGTAAATGCTCTAGTCACTAGGTGTTAGTGGTAGGAGATCAACACAGTGACAAATGTAAAGAGTAGATGCTAGATTCGAAATGATAGCGGCAATGAGAATGCATGACAACAGGTTTTGGTATTGCTTTGTATGCCAAGAGACTTGCATAAACTTGCTCAAGTTGTCTCGGATATATATCTGAACAGCTCTGCAAAGCTAAGAACTCAAGCATTGGGGAATGCTGGTTGGGCAGCTGGTGTAACCTACTCGATGTTTATTCTGCAGATGTCTTGAGCCGAATATCAATACTGGTAAGGAATGATTATATGAAGATGGACACATTGACAGAGCACCGAGAGAGGTCTAGTGCGGGGCTTATTAATCTCGTGGGGTCGATCTCGGGACGGTTTCCCTATATGGAAGGCCGACGGACGTCATGCTGTATGTACATCTTTCGTTTTATAGAGTAGTGTATATAAAATGGAACCTATAGTAAGGCGTATTCTTGAGCTTCAGTCAAAGTAGCCGTGTATTTTGCAATTCAAAATGAGAGATTGGAGGTATTCTTCTTACGTAGGTAGACTGTGATCGTGGCGCAGCAGGCAAATAGCTTCAAGAAATAACTTTAATTTAAAGATTACGCTTAAAGTTTAAGATGATACATCATAAAGCCGCACATCCCGCAGCAAAAAAAAAGGTAGAAAGAGGCGTTGCTGTCACAGTGGAAGCATAGGGGAAGAGAACTTGACCGTATAGTGTAGCTACGGCAGCCACCCAAGAGGGGCCGGTCACGTGGTAGCCAATTTCAGAGAACCGGTCCGAGAGATCCACCCGTCGATAGGAAACACTTTCACGATCGCCCAAAGGAGTCAACTTTTGCGATCAGCTCCTTCTCTACTCCACAGTATTTTTAAGTTTGGATCCACCGGTAGCGTGTACCATCATCTAAAAGCCATGGAATTCCTCCCGGCTATCATCCCAGCACTTGTACATATTCCCGGGCCGGTGCAAAAGAAACCGGGAAGCAAGATCATAGATTGCCGAGAAATATAAGCTCGAACACTCCCATTTGCATGCATTAATTGCAACCCATGCTTTATTTCGACAATCCGCGTTGATAAGCGTTTCTAATTTTGCACCTACAACAGCCAGCATGTCGACCGTCATCCTTGGAGGAGGTATCATTGGAGCCTCAATTGCTTACTACCTATCTGCCAACCAGCCAGAAGGCGATATTCACATCGTTGAGCAATCCCCAGAGCTTTTCACCGCAGCCTCGGGATATGCCGCAGGTTTTTTAGCTAGAGATTGGTTCGAGCCATCTCTTGCCCCTCTTGGTGCTATGTCTTTCGACTTGCACCATGAGCTCGCCGCAGCGGAAGGCGGAGACAAAAAATGGGGATTTATGAAAGGAACAGCGTTCAACTTGGATACCGTCGCTCAACGCAAGCGAGGGGGTCCCCGCGGTGATGATTGGTTGCGAACGGGCACTAGTAGAGCAGAGACTGCGGCTGGCTCCGAGGATACCACTCCGGTTGAGTTTCCGGAATGGTTGACGATGCAGAAAGAGGGAATACTGGAGAAAATCAGCCAGGGTGAAACCGTGGCTCAAGCGTGAGTATCAAACCGAAGCGTTTCATGAATTATTTGCTAATTGTGTTCAGAGATCCATTGCGGCTGAGCCAATTCCTCATTGACGGTGCTATCTCCCGAGGCGCTAAGCTTCATAACCCAGCCCAGGCCACCGAAGTGGTCAAGGATGCGAGCGGCACGATTACAGGCGTCAAAATCGTGTCTTTGGATTCCAAGAAGGAATCAATAATTCCGTGTACGAACCTTGTTCTGAGCATGGGGCCGTGGACACCACAGGTCCTTAGAGAGCTGTTCCCCTCTTCTCAGGTATCATTCGATATAACGCCTTTGGCTGGCTATTCATTGGTCCTTCGATCCCCTCGGTATACAATGGAGCACGAGAGAAATGTTTACCGTGGAAGCAGCCATGCTGTATTTACAACACACCCTCCGTCGTGCGGGTTTAGCCCAGAGATCTTCCTCAGGGAAGGCGGGGAGATTTATATCGCCGGTCTTAACAACCCCGCCATGAAGCTTCCACCCCGTGCCGGTGATACTACCCAGCTTTTTGATCCCGCCGAGATTCGAAAGCTCAAAGATGTTGCAATTCGTTTAATGGGGGATCTTCCCAAGGGTACAAAGGAGGCTACCGACGAGAAGGCCAACACAGATGACTTGGAGATTATCCGTGAAGGGCTGTGCTTCCGCCCGGTGGGAAATACTGGTGTTCCTACAATTGGAAGAATTGGAGATTACTCTTTGGGAAGTGTGAAAGCAAACCCCAAGGGAGGCGTCTTCATAGCCGCTGGCCACGGAGCGTGGGGAATCTCTTTGAGCCTGGGAACTGGAAAGGTTGTTTCTGAGATGATCAAAAAGCAAAAGCTCTCTGTGAATGTGAGCGGCTTGGCGGTTCAGGACAAAGTTCCTAGTTCCAAGCTGTGAGCATTTGATCTGCAATAGGAAAGAGCTCCAGATGTCCGCCTAAATGTGCTTTTCCAAAGGTCACTGACAAAGCAACATTGTAGCTGCGTACTTCTTTAATCTCATCGATTTCATCCTCTGAGTGCGCACATATTGACTTTCGAAGGCTCCCTTGTCGGCGTTAACAAAGAGCGATCATCTTCGACTTAGAATTTCAATACCTATTTATCAAACTAAATGTCGAAGAGCTCAAAATATTCGTTTGATACTAATACGATCAGATTGGTAGACTCGACTTGGTTATACACTTTGAGTACTATTTCCCTCTATTTTCCCTCTCCTTTCTTTCCCTCTCCTTTCTTTGACCTATGATACTGGCTTGTAATGAGATCAAATCAAATATCTATCTATAACTCATCTCCATCTCAAGTCAGTCTCGCCCCGGTTCTAAACCTAGCGCCAGCATCGGGAGTAAAAATAGGTAGAAAGTCACAGGAAAAGGCAGACTAAGTTTGGGACTGCAGGTACGCTAACTCACTATGTAACTAACCAGTTATAGCTCTTCCTAAGTAAGCTGCTTTGCCTAGGTGACAGTTTCTTTTCCAATATCTCTCCAAAGACTTTTTTTGGATGAGTTTTTTTTTTAAAGAATACTATCAAATGTTTCAGTGTTATAGCCAGAATAATACAATAAGGATCAGCCGTGAAATATAGAAGATATTTGGGTAAAGGTGTGTTCAGATGTATATCTAGGAAATTTACTAGGCGTCGGAGTATAGATAATCCGACGGACCGAGCAGCTCTCCGCCACTCGAGCTCTCCAGAATCTTCAAGCATCCGATATCTCCCAGCTTTCAAAGCACCGTCGCTTTGTGCCTGTTTCTTCTGCAACCCTCCCATCCAATTTCACCTTCCATCAATTCTTCATCAGCCAATATCAGAGACTGCCCGTAATCAACCATGGCCAACTACCTTGCATCCATCTTCGGTACCGAGCAGGACAAGGTCAATTGTTCGTTCTACTACAAAATCGGCGCGTGCCGACACGGCGACCGCTGCTCTCGCAAGCATGTTAAGCCTTCGTACTCGCAAACCATTCTCATGCCGAACATGTACCAGAACCCGGCTTACGACCCCAAGAACAAGATGAACCCCAGCCAAATGCAGAACCATTTCGACGCCTTCTACGAGGACGTATGGTGTGAGTTGTGCAAGTACGGCGAGCTGGAAGAGTTGGTCATCTGCGACAACAACAACGACCGTAAGTAGTGCTCTCTTCAAAATTTGTGTCTGAATCTACTGACATCTGTTTTCGCGACAATAGACCTCATTGGTAACGTCTACGGCCGATTCAAATACGAAGAAGATGCGCAGGCAGCCTGTGACGCGATAAACTCCCGTTGGTACGCAGCGCGACCTATCTACTGCGAGTTATCACCCGTTACCGATTTCCGAGAAGCCTGTTGTCGGCTCAATAGCGGCGAAGGGTGTGTACGAGGGGGCTTCTGCAATTTCATTCACCGGAAAGATCCGACACCCGACCTCGACCGCGAGCTGCGACTGAGCACCAAGAAGTGGCTCAAGGAGCGCGGCAGAGATCCTCGCAGCGCCAGCCGCAGTCCTAGCCCCGAGCCCACCCGGCGCAGATACTAGTGGTGTGCCACGACGAATTTTCTCATTGTTGTTTCCCTACATTCGATCCTTTGGCGTTCGGCGATATCAGTCGGTGGTTCAATTCCACTTTCCTTTGCGCAGCGGCGCATCCAGGGCATGGGGTCTCGGTTTGTCTTTACATTTGCTGGTTGGCATTTGCGTTTCATGATATCAAACTTGCGCGATCAATAAAACCCACAGCTAAACTTCATGTACAAATCTCGCTTAGTAATTCCTTATATGTACCACCTGGTAGGTAGTTGAAGCCGAAACCAGTACGTTGACCAGCACCTACTGAGTGATATCGGTCAAGGAAACTGATTCAAAGCTCTCTCTATAGCACTTTGAATCCACAAGTCGTTGTCAGAAAATTGCAATTGCTTCATTACTAATTACCAATATTTCAACAACAGCACGCGCAATTTGACTAGGAGAGGTCGACGGTGCAGTGAGCTGTGCAGTGTCGCGGCCGTAGTCATAGATGTCGTGGAAGTCGCTTGATGTTTGGCTTTGGCTTTGACACCGAGATTGAAGCGTCGTATGAAAAGGAGTGCATGCTCATAGTCGTAATACATCGGGTCACTCGAAGTACTGTTTCATCTTCGGCTTTTTCTATCACACACATAGGCAGTGCCTGGTGCGATGCGTTTTAAAAGTCTAAGTAGATGGTTACATAAATTATGAATCCGCCTCATAATCTATCTTCCGCCCGGATGGTCTAGTGGTATGATTCTCCGTTTGGGTTTCCATCTCAAATTCGGAGAGGCCGCGTGTTCGAATCGCGCTTCGGGCCCTCATCTTTTTTTGTTTTTGCTCCAAAGTTCTTTACTTCAATGTATGAACCAGCGCACGCAAGTAAAGTCAAGTAGAGACAAACAAATCGTCTAATGCTATCAAAAACCATCTCATACGATTCACAATTAGGGTGGTTTTCTCTCCTCGTCACTTTTTGTATGAATATGCCTCAGGAAACAAATTTACTAAGCTTCCTTATCGCATGTTCTTATCTTTCTTTCATCTACAGCCACGCGAGCGCGTCTGATCGCGTCAAAGCCAGTACGCCGTTGGCACAAAGAGCCTTGAACTGACTGATATTGTGAACTCTGACACCCTAGAGCATGATTTATGGTCGAGAATATGGCTGGATATAATGACAGCAATCGTGCCTTTCTCCAAGCGTTCATGGCACGTTCGTCTATGACCTTTGAAGATGCGCAACCCATCCTAGCTGCGATATTAACAGTATCTGGTACCTAACTCCTGCTTGATCATGGTGCTATGAATAACGGTAGTTGCTGACGTTGAAATGATCGAACAGAAGGGCGAACAGTGGATCCCGATGAGATTGAGAAAGACCAATTCTCCGACTTTATAGCGGCGGCTAATACCGCCGTGTCACCCTTCGACCTCGAAATCAGAAGCTTACTGCCACAAGTAATCGAACCAGCCCAACAAGATGCCCCAGCCACACCCCCGAAGCGAGTCTATGCGCTTGTAAATACTACGAGTGATCCTTTGACACAGCTCGCGACCACCTATTCCCCGGACGAGATCGCGTTTCTCAAGCGCTTGCTGGACTTCATGTTTGCGAAAAATAATACACGACTGTGTGAAGGCATGGTAGCTTCACAGATGCAAGCTGTTTCACTCCATAAGGCTCCGTCTGGCGAACGGCAATCCACGAGCAACGACTCGGCGCAGTCGCAAACCGCAGCGGTACAGTCACTGCGTATGACCCAAGCAGAAACCCTGGTCATTCACTTGATTGAAGAGGGCTGGCTGCAGAAGAGCGCGAAGGGATATCTTAGCCTCACGCCACGAGCACTGATGGAGTTGCGGGGCTGGTTGGTCTTAACGTATAATGACGAGAGTTTCGATGGCCGAGCTGTGGAGAGGATCAAATTTTGTGCTGCTTGCAAAGACATTATCACCGTAGTAAGTATACTTACCGCTCTTTGGTATGAAAAAGATCTGACTGAGATACTCCAGGGTCAACGCTGTGAAGACCGTGACTGCAAGGGTCGACTCCATGACCATTGCATGCGCAACTTCTTCCGGATGCAACAAGCAGAGAAATGTCCCTTATGCAAAGCGGACTGGCCTGGCGATAACTTCGTGGGCGAACGAGCGATCACGAACCCGAAGCAACGCAACACCGTTCCACAACAGAGGAGGTCTTCGTCTGCTGCGTCTAGTGCCGTTGGCGAAGGTTTGGATGATGAGGAGGACGAAGAATAAGAGAATTGAACCTCTGCTGGCTGGTGAAAAATACCGGTTATGGGTCTTGCCTCTGCTTGACCAAGCGTCAGTTACGAAATGGGTTCACCGTGGACACGCCCATGTGAATAGCAACGAATGAATGAACGACATGGAAGATTATCGAGCGAGGATTGCTGTTAGTTAGTTTGAGGTGACATCCAAAGCGATGTTCTATGTCATGTCTCGACTGCATTCTTGGGATTTTTGATAAGGCTCAACCTTTCTATTTTGTTTTAAGATGTAACTAGATATTGGGGATTATGTACATGGGAAGGATGGGCCTTGTAAGATACAAGCGGGTACATACATGATCTTGGATGACCTATGAAATGAAGTCGAATACTTGAAGCTATTGAAATGCATCTTACTGGCTGGCATATCTTAGACATCACGCGATAGGTGTCTGAATATGGGCATGCAAATATGGTACAGTGGAAAAACCGGCGTGGTCGTGGTAAGTTAGGGGAAAATACATAAATGTGGTACGACAAGGTAAGGTACGGTAAAATAAATCTCAAGCCATCGATTTTCTCTTGGCAGAAGCCCAAGGCCTTGGATTCCCAGTCCTGTCTCACTCCGTACTCCGTGCTCTGAACATTCATCCTTTATCTCTTCAAGGGTTTCAACCTGGTCTTTCAACAATTGATGTGCTGTATAATCCGCTACCTTCCGGCGTTTTGCCGAACACTTTACTAATATGGAACCCCCAACTTCCCCACAAACCCACCAAAACCCTCGAGTCGCGCTAGACTTCCCCTGCAGTCGATGACGAGGTCACCCCATCTCAAGCCGATTTCGGTCTTCACAGCCAATAGCCCGATTTTATGTACACAATATCATCATATTGGTCGTTGCTTCCCGCATTTTCCGATTCTCCCGTGGCAAGCCGTCCCACATACAAGCCACCACTGATGACTCGTACGCCATTTCCCCAGAACCTTGATGCCAATCCTCACTAGAAGGAGTAGTATAACCGACTTGGAACTGAGAACATCCACTCTCTGACCCTGGAACGGGCCAGTAGGCTTTTGACTTTACTTCCCCACATTTCACCATGCGTTCATAGCTGGAGCGATTTTAAATTGCTACTACATCGGTATAGGGACGTGCCTGGATCATCTCATGTCATGCTGATTTAGGAAAGCGCCATTAATCTCCATCTTTCCCTAAAAACTCCTCTTGCTTCCTCCATCATCCTCACTTATGAATAGTGCTGACCGCTTCTTCCTATTCAACTCGATATCGACTTATTCGAGCATCTGACCTGGTTGACAAAGCGGTGAAACTGCAATATGCGGTTTAAAGTGAGTTTGTACTCCTATGTCCTTGCTGATCATCTAACACTCTGCTTAGTCCTTCACATGCGCGGCATTGCCCCTATTTCTGAATCTTGTTAGCGGCTCTCCCGACAGTCGTATCAAAAGGTGCTTTAGGGAACACACAAGCTCTAGCTCGGCCAACTTCAGCAACAATGTTTACCAGACCGGCTTCGATGGTGTGATCTGGGACGAAGACAACTGGCTTCTGAGCTCAACCAACTTGGAACAGGGTCGTTTTCAATCTCGAGGATCCGTGGCGAACGGATATCTGGGTATTAATGTTGCCAGTGCTGGTCCTTTCTTTGAGATTGATAGTCCCGATGACACCAACGGCTGGCCACTTTTCTCTAGACGCCAGACCTTCGCAACGGTCAGTGGGTTCTTTGACTCACAGCCTACCACCAACGGCAGCAACTTCCCCTGGTTGTCCCAGTATGGAGACGATAGTGTGATCAGTGGTGTTCCCCACTGGGCCGGAATCATCTTGGATCTCGGCAATGATACATATTTGGATGCAAAAGTCGACAATAAGAGCATTTCCAATTTCCGAACCACATACGACTTCAAAGCAGGCATCTTGGTCTGGTCCTACAAATGGACGCCTCGGGGCAACAGGGGATCGTACCAGATTACCTATCGTCTTCTCGCCCACAAGCTGTATGTCAATCAGGCTGTGGTCGAAATGGAGATTATCCCGACCAAGGAATCGAATGCGACCATTGTCAATGTCATTGATGGAGCTTCTGCAGTGCGCAGCGACTTCGTAGAGACCGGGGAAGACAATGGTGCAATCTTCTCAGCAGTACGGCCGAATGGGATTGCTAATGTCACAGCTTATATCTACGCGAACCTCACTGGGTCGCCCAATGTGGATCTCTCTTCGCGCAAGATTGTGCCCAGCAAGCCATATGTCCATTCCAACAAATCGTCCATTGCGCAATCCGTAGATGTGAAGTTCAAGCCTGGGCAATTAGTTCGTGTCATCAAGTATGTCGGAGGTGCTTCTACGGATGCCTTTGTTGATCCGAAACAAACAGCCAAGAAGGCTGCCTCCGCTGCTATGAGCAATGGCTACGCCCGGTCTCTTCGAACTCATCTCATGGAATGGGAAAACGTTATGCCCCAAGATTCGGTTGACCACTACGCATTTCCCAATGGCACATTGCCTGCAGATAGCCACATCATTGATTTGGCAGTAATCTCCGTGGCTAACACTTACTACTTGCTGCAGAATACTGCTGGCAAGAATGCAGTCAAGGAAGCCGCGGGAGCACCGATAAATGTGGACAGTATTTCAGTTGGTGGCTTGACCTCGGACTCCTATGGAGGCCAAGTCTTCTGGGATGCGGATGTATGGATGCAGCCTGGTCTTGTTGTTTCTCACCCAGAAGCGTCCGAGCGGTTCACCAATTTCCGTGTGGCAAAGTATGCCCAAGCACGGGAGAATATCCAGACTAGCTTTTCTGGCTCCCAGAACCAGACAAATTTCAGTCCGTCAGCTGCAATCTTCCCTTGGACTAGTGGCCGATTTGGCAACTGCACGGCTACTGGCGCCTGCTGGGACTACGAATATCATCTGAACGGAGACATCGGAATCTCCTTGATTAACCAATGGGTTGCAAGTGGTAATACAAAGTTATTCAAAGAGGAACATTTCCCAATCTACGATTCGGCGGCTACGCTCTATGCGGACTTGCTGGTTCGAAACGGGTCTTATTGGACATTGACCAACATGACTGACCCTGTAAGTCTGGCGCCCATCTCTTTACAGCACCCAAAACTAATATAAAGTAGGATGAGTATGCCAACCACGTTGATGCGGGTGGTTTCACAATGCCACTCATTGCCGAGACCCTCCGACATGCCAACGCCTTCCGTCAGCAATTCGGACTTGAAGAAAATGCTACCTGGGATCAAATGGCTGACAATGTCTTGGTGCTTCGTGAAAACGAGGTGACTCTCGAATTCACTACCATGAATGGAAGCGCTGTGGTTAAACAAGCTGACGTGGTTATGGTCACCTATCCCCTGGGCTATACTGCCAATTACACCAGCCAAAATTCGCTGAATGATCTGGACTATGTAAGTATTTTGATTCCCGGAAAGAGAGCCAAACTAACAAGATCTAGTACGCAGCGAAACAATCTGCTGATGGTCCTGCCATGACCTGGGCTATCTTTTCTGTCGTCGCAAACGGAATGTCGCTATCTGGCTGCTCATCATACGCATATGCGCAGTACTCATACAAGCCTTATACCCGTGCGCCATTCTTCCAAATGTCGGAGCAGATGGTGGATAACGCTACCATCAATGGAGGCACGCACCCGGCGTATCCATTCCTGACTGGCCACGGTGGTTCCAATCAGGTCGCTATCTTTGGTTATCTTGGATTGCGGCTGGTACCAGATGACATTCTTCACGTGGATCCAAATTTGCCCCCCCAGATTCCATACCTGAAGTATCGTACCTTCTACTGGCGCGGCTGGCCCTTCTCGGCGTGGTCAAATTACACACACACGACCATCAGCCATTCCACAGAGGCTGCCCCACTGGAGACTGCCGATCAGCGATTCGCCAACAAAACAATCACGATTCACTCTGGCCAAGAAGTCGATACCACCATTTACCATCTTCCTCTCAAGGGCTCTGTTGTCATTCCTAACCGACAGACTGGATCGGAGAACACCGTAAAAGGTAATCTCGTGCAGTGCCAGGCTGTTTCCTCTTCGGATGCATTCGAACCTGGCCAATTCCCTATTTCCGCGGTAGACGGTGCAGCCTCGACAAAATGGCAGCCCTCACTGGCAGCTGAGCTAAGCTCCGTGACAGTCTCCTTCGAAGATGAGGCTGGCGCTATGGTATTCGGTTTCTACTTCGATTGGGCGCAGACACCCCCGGTTAATGCCACTATTATCTTCCACAATAAGACCCTGGAAGATCCTGCGGCGGCGCTTTCCACTCAAAGCTCGGACTACACAATTGTGCACCGCCTGATAAACATCGTTCAATCGAACCCATACGATCCTGATACCACAAACCTCGATAGGGTTGCCATCCCTACCGGAAACACAACCAATGTGACTTTATCATCTCCCATACCAGCAGCACGCTATGCGTCTCTTCTTATTGTGGGAAACCAAGCCCTTGACTCTGTTGATGTGGAGGCTAAGAATGGGACTGGTGCGACTGTTGCCGAGTGGGCTATTCTCGGGCAAGCAAACGCAAGCACTGCCTCAGCCTCCAAATCTGCAAATAAGAAGATGAAAGTGCGTGTAGCAGGAACCTTGGTAGATACGGATGCCTTTATGCGTCGGCGTCAGTTTTTATTCTAAATTTAGATGATTGACTTGCCTTAGAGTTACCACTCTCTTGTAAATACAATACAGTCTTCATTTGATTTAATTCTCTACCAATACACTTATCGAGTGGAAACTCACGAATGAAGTGTGCTCCAAGTAATGTTCGAGTTGTAAATTGTGACAATTGAACAGAATCGCACCTATTTAAATTGATATATCCATACATACAGTCATAACCAACATCCCCTACTCATCAAGCGCGAACCGATCCAAGAACTTGAAGGTCCGAAGTCCCTCCTTTATATCTTTGACAAAGGCACTCCCAGCATTGCTAGCAGTGTACACACCATCGCGGTCCGTAGAAATGAGTGCAGAGCGTAGCGCAGCCGAGCCCTTACCGAGCGCACCAACCGTCTTCCCGAACCGGAAAGCATCGAGCAGAATATCCAAAGGCCGACCAGCGGGATACAAAGACGACGCACCAGAAGCCTTATTCGGCACGCTAGTAATCGACTTGGAGGCAAACAGGCCCTCCGCACCATCCGCGACAACAACAGCATCGAACTGCACTGCGTCCGACGCAGAATACGTCTGATTAACACCATCCGCAAACCTCTCCGCAACAACCACGACATCAACGCCCACAGCAGAAAGCGCAGACTGCAGCTTCGCGCCCTGCGCAATAGACGCCGGCTTATCGACAGACGCAAGGAGTCCAACTTTCAGCCCATCTAGTTTGGCGAGTTTCTGTCCGAAGGCGCCGATATGCGCGGTCGTGTTGTCGTGGTAAAAGGTTGGATCTGGCTTCGGCGCATCAATGCCAATGGCCTTTGCGACGCGCGTCGCGAGGTCGTTGCTGATGCGGTTTAGCTGGATGATGACGTTGTTGCGCACGACGCTGCTCTTGACGTTGGATGTCTCGAATCGGATCGCGTCTACAATGAATTGCTTCTCGGCGGGTACGAGCGAGTTCCAGAATAGGCGTGGCTGGGACCAGACGTCTTCAAAGGTAGAGCTGACGGTGCGTTGGAGCTTGCCGCTTGATGTGCGGTCGGGTGCGGTGAAGAAGCCGTTGCCTACGGTTTGATTGGCTTGTTTTGGGGAGCCGTTGTTTTCTGTGTTGGGGGAGTAGGCGTTTGGGTTTAGGGGGATGAACATTTGGCCTGGGGTTTGTTAGAAAGAGGGATTGGAGGATGGGGTGGGTTTGGTGGTGGGACGTACCTGCTCCGTCGCGGTTGTTGTTGTGGATTGGTACACGGGGCCGGTTGATGGGCAGCTGCTCGAAGTTGGGGCCGCCGTGACGGTTGAGTTGGGTGTCTAGGTAGGAGAAGATACGGCCTTGGAGGAGGGGGTCCTCGGTGAAATCGACGCCGCGGACGATATGGCCCGGTTGGAACTAAGAAATTAGTATTGTAAGTGGTGATGGTGGGTTGGGACGTACCATGACTTGCTCAGTTTCAGCAAAGTAGTTCAGGGGGTTTCGGTTCAGTTGCATCTTGCCTAGCTTGGTGACAGGAACGAGTTCCTCTGGGACAATCTTGGTAGGATCCAAAAGATCAAACCCAAACCGAAGCTGGTCGTCTTCCTCCATGATTTGAACACCAAGCTAGCAAAAAATTAGCAAGAATTGCGATGGATATGGGGTTATCACCTACCTCCCACTCGGGGAAACGTCCAGCTTCGATAGCTTCGAAGAGATCCTGACGCATAAAGTCCGCATTTTTACCAGCGGTCTGCTGTGCTTCCTCCCACACGAAACTAGCCTTGCCCTGTAGTCCCTTCCAGTGGAACTTGACAAGCTTAGTCTTTCCATCGTCAGTCACTAGACGGAAGGTGTGCACACCGAAACCATCAACATGACGGAAAGACCGAGGAATACCGTGGCCAGCCATTGCCCAAAGAAGGGTGTGAAGTGCACTAGGCTGCTGACTGAAGAAGTCCCAAGCCGAGTCGTGCGCGGTAGCAGCCTGAGGGATCTCGCTATCGCCACGGGGCTTGACGGCGTGAATGAGATCGGGGAACAAGATAGCATCCTGGATGAAGAAAACGGGGATGTTATTTCCAACAATATCTAGATCCAAATCAGTTGTGTACTTTCGTCAAAAAAAGATCTGCCGTACCGAAGTTCCCTTCATCAGTATAGAAGCGAGTCGCAAAGCCGTGGACATCTCGCGCAGTATCGGCGCTTCCGCGACTGCCAGCAACAGTAGAGAAGCGCGTGAACATCGGGGTTTGTTTGCCTTTGGCAGAAAGGAAAGACGCGGCTGTCAGGTTGGACCAGTCGCCGTACGAGGTGAATGTTCCGTGGGCGCCGGCGCCTCGAGCATGAACGGCGCGTTCCGGTACCTTGAAAAACAGATATGAGCGTTGGAACTTCGATTAAAAACGTGGAACACATACCCGTTCATGGTCGAAGCGTTGGATCTTCTGGCGGAAAATGAAATCCTCAAGCAGGGTGGCTCCACGCTCTCCTGCGCTGAGACTGTTTTGGTCCTCGATCGGGCCGCCAACATCGGAGGTCAGAAAGACATCTTGGTCCTTGAGGTAGAATTGGGAGAGAAATTCCTCGGTGGAAGAAGCATCTCCATCACCTCGTCTCTCGAGGGGGCCAGCTTCGCCAGTCATATAAGGACAGGCAGCATTGGCAATGCCAACAAGACCCGTAACGAGGGCAAGCACACGCATTGCGGCAGGTAAGTAATATAACTGTTAATAGAAGGCCAGTCTCAATAGAGTTGTCAACAATTCAAACTTCAGGTGAAAGGTGAAAGACTCGGGGCTCGCTTTATACTCCGGGTTGAATGTGAACCCCAAACAAAACAGCCCAGTGCGACTTTTGCAATGGGCCAATGGGAAGCTCCATGAAAATGCTATGACGCAGATTTCAGGTACTATTATTGATCAGACCTGGGCTGGCCAATTCTCCAACCAGGAACCCGTTGATTATTCCAGCGCAACGGCCGGCCGAGACTAACAGTGTGATGAGATCGAATCACCTGTTGGATATAGTGGGGCACGGCTAGAGGTGTTGACCGTCTCCACGAGCCAAGGAGAAGATGAGAGACACTATGCATGCATTGCTCCGAATGGTAGCTCCAATGGAAATGCTGGGGTGTTGATCCATATGCGGGCCATAGGAATCAGCATCAGGTTATCATGGCGCCACTAGAAGGAAATGGCAAAATGGCAAAAGATTTAAGCTGACTATTGAAAATCTCGGCGACTCTTTGAATCGGAATAGCCGGATAAGCGTCAAGTCAACCGTTGCATACAACATAGCGAAGGGGGTGAAGGGGTGAAGTCTTGGCGGTTGATTAAGCGTAGGGGCACGTTGGTCGAGGCCGCGATGCTTGGTAATTGGTGAGTGACATCTGGGCATCCTTGCAAGACCACTTAGCGTCCGTTTAAATTCGAAAACGAGACGGATTATGTAGGGGATCTGCACCCTAGCGTCAGGAAATTATGTCTCATGTTGGATTTATCTCCCAATTGCAACGCTGATATCTAGGTAAACAAACACTCGCATTGCAACATCGCCATTGCAGTCCAGCACTCGAAATTGGGACCTGAAAATCTACAGGGATTAAGCTGCAGTGCTCATTACCAAGACCAGCTCCTGCAGCTGATCCCTGTCAACGCACATCTCTTACCACTTTTAGAACTCATCCGCAACGCAGTTGGGATCGTCTGTGATGACCCGTTTGTGTTAGTGATGTTGCATCGGCCTCCGCGGAGGCACAACATGGGGAATAGTTAATTTTAGATCTTCGGGGTCTTGTTCTGCATCAAATGACATGCCCATGTGCTGTTCGTGGCTGCTTATTGTTGGGTTCGCGTGGTGTGAGATGCTTGGCGGGGAAAGAAATAATCTAGCCAGCCTTGGAAGGTGATGACACTGGTCCTTGACGATCTTGGCAACTGTGAACTTGGCATAATTAGTTGTCGCTAAAGGGCTATTTTTAATGTGATATGTGTGTGATAGAGCTTTCGGCCGGGGAGTACGGGGTATTTTTGTGAGAGGGGTTGAGATGTCTTTTTTTGGATTGAGAACTGTCTTTGGATCTAGTAGAATAATACGGATATGCTATAGTTAGATAGAACTGTTGAATGGACAGAATCAGGTATAGTCTAGACACAAAAGAAGACAAAGATTTATGATCGAATGACTACGGAGTATTCTTTCTATAATTCAAACAGCCACATCTCCACCACGAAGTACGGAGTATCCCGTCTATCATACCACCAAGTACTCCGTATAGTAGTATACTCAGCCGATGACACAACAAATCTATCCTCGAGCCATCGCAACCACCTCACCGGGACTAGCGGGGTCACTGCGATCCACAAACCCATGTTTCGCATACAGCGGAACACCAGCCTTACTAGCATCGATGTACGCCGCCACGCCTTCCCGATCCGCAATCTCACAGCCCCATAGAACCAGCATAGCGCCAGCCCCGCGACGACGGTAGTCGGGATGCGTACCGAGCATATCAAGGTCTATGTTTTACTAGCGTCAACAAACAGTCCCCCAGCAGAACAAAACAAGCGGCTAAGTAGCTAGCTCTCGAGTGATCCAACTCACAGTAATGCTTCCGATCACCCATCACCCGCCTGCGCTCGCTCTCCAGCCCCCCAAAGAAAGTATCGCAAACCTGCCCAGGCATGTCCCCGTGCCAAGGCGGGAACCGATCCCCGCGCTCGTCGGGCATGGCCAGGTCCCATTTCGCATATGCGACTATCCGCGCCTTCCCTTGCGTGTCAGTAGTGCTGGGGTCGATGATCTTGATGTATTTTTGGAACGGCTTTGTGAGCATGTCGGTGCGGTTGGCTTCAGTGAACCATTCGCGTGTCCCTGGTGTGTCGGGGAATAGACGGCGCATGCCCGGGTCGTTGAACGCGGTGAACCATAGGTCTGTAATGGCCGGGAGGTCTTCGACTGTCGCGGGTTCTAGGACTAGAGGGTTTGGGGTAGACATTTTGGGCTTTTTGTTTGCGAGTTGGTTGTTGGGACTTGTCGCGGGGTAGTTTTAGGTCGACTGCAGGCTAGCGGTCAATGCTACGTTGATTTGGAATAGTCGGGCTAGTATTAGTTGATTATTATTTGAAGTCTGAGTCAGACATATATTAAAGAGATACATAACTAGACTAGAACGGAATCCTTGCTCATTGGTCTCTTTTATGTATATGCAGGTCTAATTTTTGAGTACATCAAATAAAAGAGGCAGCCCAGGGTCACCCAGGTATAGTTGGTTCCAATGGCATAAAAGAGTTCCCTTCTCATGTAGAAAGACGAGGTAGTTGGAAAGACTCTCCGTGCTCTCTCATATATCGCAGTTTCGTTTCGAATCAGTTTGGCGGGAGTCGTGCGACCGACCAACACGACTTAGATTTGAAAGATGAGACGTTGAGCAGATAGGATTATTCAAGGACCATTCGGGCATGTTTCATAAACTGATATCCACTTCCCAAATGGCGTTTTTCGTCAACGGGTGGCTTGGGATTGGATTTCCGGGAGACGAAGGGGATATAGTAAATTTTGATTTCAGTTTCATGGGTTTATCTACAATTCATATTTACATTGAATGAATAATAACAAGAAGATTGAGGGATAGACGTAAGAATCGCCCAGCCTAGGTTCAAACAGACCGTCTATAGAGGGTGCCCTTAAGCCAAAGTCTCAAGTGAGCGGTAAAAGATATGCGCCGACACTATATCGAATGTTAGCAATTGCATCTCCACGAGTTATAAAGTGCACATACGAAATAGCGGCAAAGCAGGCACACAAGATAGCACCCTCCAAATAATTAGTCTTTCCCTTGAGCACGATGAAATCGACCAGAATAACAGCCCCGATCAGAGTGACCATCTCGAACTTGTCAAAATGCAAGGTCATGGGCTTGTCGAGAGCCCAGCCAATAAGCACCATAGCCGGCGAAACCAAGAGACCGATTTGAATGGCCGATCCCAGAGCAACACTGATGGCAAGGTCCATTTGGTTTTTCGAGGCCACAACAACGGCAGTAACATTTTCGGCAACATTTCCGGCGATAGGAATAATGATCAAACCGACGAATGATTCACCGAGGACGCCCTGTTCGTTGAGCGTTGAGAAGCTTGAGGAGAAGTATTCGGCGCATATGGCGATGAGAACGGTTGATAGGGCGAGGAGGGTGACGGATATCGTTCGGTTGGACTTGATCACGTAGCGGTCGCAGCGACATGGTCCATAGTCTCGGATAGGTGCCGTTTGTCTGGGGAGGCTCCTTCCTTCAGATGCCGTGTGTCGGTGGAGGGTCGTTCTTCCTTCAGATGGTTCGTTGTGGAACAGTGGCATGGCCGCTGCCGTTTGTGCGTCGACTGAGCATGACCGTGATCGCACCTCTTGCATCTCTAGCTGGCGGATATGTCTGCTTGTTGCGCTTTCGACCGTGGTGGGACGCGATTCGAGGTCGTCTGTATATAGAGGATCGATTGGATGCGGCATTTGGAGCCGCGTGGAGTGGAACAAGTGAGCGTGTGATTTGAACTGGAAGAAAAGGTATAAGAAATATGTGAGGAGAAGAATGATGGACACTCCCCTGCTGAAGGATAATGACATATGATCAGCAGAAGTGACGCTCTTGACGCTGCCATAGAAAGCGGTCTATGTTCAGGATTAGTATTGGAAGCAATGGGGATACTTGGAACATCGCCTTACGGGAATCATAAGGCAAGAGATGGTGAGATTGAGAAGTCCCACAAATGACTGGGTGAGATCGGTGTTATACGTCACATCACTTGTCGAAATACAGCCTGCTATAATTGCAGATCCGAGGACGAGCAGAAGGTTCACAAGGATGGAGCCGAGGAGTGATGATTGAACTACTTTAATGTTGTTTTTCAACAAAGCAGTGCTATAAAGATTAGTTTTGGCTCCGCCGACTTATCATATGAAACTTACACACTATATGATAGTCAGTATATATAGTTTGAAAATAAGTGAGTTCCACATTGAGACTCACAAAATAATAAGCTCCGCTAGATTCCCTATCGTGATGTTGAGGAGAGCGCCAGCGGTCTCACCCAAATCCTTGGATATCCTCTCGGTGGCTTCTGTGAGTGTGATCGACAGCGGCACAATCGCAAGGAGGTTCCATATGAATATCACAAGCGCCGGGCTTTTGGTATTAGAGAGAATGATTGCCGATGCGGCGAAGGCACCGGAGAAGACGATCCTCGGCCTGAGAATCTGTTTTGTCTGTTGTTTGAATATGGAGAAGGAATTGCAGGGTCTGCCATGATGGGGCCACCCAGACAACGTGTCGTCATTGGGGATCTGTGTTTTGTGTCGAAGAAAGCTTTTTACTTTATGGAAGATGTCGTCGGAGATTGAATTCGTGGAGGCCTCGGCTGGTCCTTGATAACGATAAGAAGTCCATGTCAGCTTGGACGACGCCGGCAATTGGAGGATAGTGCGGACTCACTGTTCATTTCATATTGACAAGGATAGGAGCCACTAGACCGGGGCTCAGATTCGAAGGAAGTATTCAGGGCGTGCTCGTCACTTGAGCTTTCAGCGAAGGTATTGATGTCATGAAGGTTCTTATCGTTGGAACCATTCACTGTGGTCATCATGGAAGAGCCCCGAAAAAGAAAGGATTAAAACCGATATATAAATGCCAAAATGGAGGGCGGAATGGCCATCTGAATGTGAAAACGAGAGATTGAAAATGAGCGTGATATATGGATTGGTCCGGGAATTGATTATCGGCGAGATGATCGCGGCACAACCCCTTTTTCCTTGTGGCACACTGGTCTTAACCACTTGCGAGTTAGCGTCGCTTGGCTCCAATATAATTCGTTCTGATTCCTCCTTATGCAGCGCACAGTGGATTGTGTGGGGGGTTGTATACCGCCTACCTACCGCCTACCATAGATGCACTGCAGAATACAGAAGAATGGTCTATCTCATGATTATTGGCCAGTGAAAGGTATGTATAGAAAGGTTGATAAATCATACCGTCCGAATCCGTCCCCTTTCCAATATTGACCACGAATTGATAGCAGACATGCTATTTTAAGACCGGCAGTACCGGCAGAATCCACGAGTGTCAGACCCCTGCGAGAAGCCCCACTGGACGATGATCAGTCACGTGAGAGGGGGCTAAAGGTGCCAGGCCAACCAAAAAGGGGAAGACAAAGCTGTTATGGCGACAGAAAGTGTGTGGAGAAAATAAGGCTGGGAGATACTTGGTGATCGGTTTCTAGTGGGCGTGGGATGCAATAATCCCCGCAGAGATTGACGTAGCGCGCTGATAACCTTCCAAGGTGGGAATAGTAGACCCATACGAGGCGTTACGATTACGAGTGGAAAAGGGGCTCAGCCTTCCAAGGCTGTCCTTGGGTCATGTATGATGATATATAACTGGTCATCGGAAACACCGTCAAGAGGGATGGTCCGTTTGGTTCCGCATATCTTCTTAACATGGGTGCTTTTCCCAAAGCCAGCAGCAGCAGAAGAGATAATAATTTTGCCAAGCAATTAAAACACTGCCCGCGTGTTGGTGGGCTTGGCATTTAATCAGGATTTTGTTGATATATCATTTTTCACTTAGGGCTCAAGGGACCTACTAACTATGGTATAGTGTATCTACTGACCATGAGAATGCAATTGGTACATATCCATGGATGTGTTCTAATCAATCTTTGATTTGTTCCTGAACACCCACCAAGGCTCTCCTTTCAACGATTAATCTTTAGCGAGGGAAACATCGATGTATCATGTTGCAAGTTTAGCTATCTAGGCTAAGCACGGTAACAAAGCGAACACTCAATTCATTCCAGCGAAGATATAAGCGTGGAAGATATCAGCACTGTACGCGGTCATGGGATGTATCGAAACATCAAAATCAGGTTGGAATAACCTCCGATCTGTATCCTGCAATTCGAATGCGCGTTCGCGATGGCAGCAAGCACACTCAACAGTACAATGCCCCCATCCTTTCATCCGATCGGAATCTGGGGGACGTTCGCAGCATTTGCATTGTCTGCCACTGCAACCGCCTCGTTTAGCACAATCCTGACGTAGCCATTTACTTCGCAGATGCCACCCGGCTTTTTCTCGTGAAGATAGATATGCATCTTTGGCGAATCCTGGTCTGCCTCCAGACTCGGCGACATACATATTTCTTTCAAGGCGCCAATATTCTTTGTCTAGACGGACCAGTTCGTCGGTCAACTTGTGTAGCTGCTTTTAGTCATCTGCCATTGATTTAACCTGAACTTTTTGGATATCTTCCTTCAAGAATGACTCGCGCTGGGTAGTTGCGCATAGCTGCATTTCCGTTTCGATGGCAGATTGCGCCCAACCATACGCTTTATCGACGTGCCAATTCAAGTTGTGACACCGTCGACGAATCTTTTGAGAAAGTCTCCACACACCAGATCTCCCTATTGGCTTTTCCACATGGAAAGCCAACTTCTGAGCTTGCTCGGGGGACATCATCGTGCCTTATCATATTTTCGAGAAGACCAATAAGACCTACAGCAGTTATTAGGTAGGTCAGACATTTACATCATGCATCATCATAGACCTCGATACCAAGCCCATCTTAGGAACTAATCTGGGGAGAACCCTGAATTTAAGTGCAGTCGGGAAACCTACCTGATCTAGTCCGTATTGTCTTTTATATCGCCGTAACTGGTGATTCGGTCAATTTTGCGCCTGGCCCATGCTCCATCGGATTCGCATCCACTTAACATGTGGACTTTTAAGTGGATCCCCGTTTTATATTTGAGAATCGAATGCTCTCGCTCGTGGGGTAGATTCCGACCGGTAAACCCAGTCGCTCAACGCGGTCCCACTAGGTCTCGCTATGTTTGGAGGGGCGATTCATTTGCCAATGTAGAAAGCCTTAGCGGAGCAAAGTTATAGTCAACTGGTGGGTGAAGAAAGAAGAAAGAGAAATATAGAATTGGATTTACTTCAAGTAGGCACGCCAGTGCACCATATCCGATTGTCTACTAGGGTATAGCTATAGACACAAGAATGTAGTCGGTCACTTAGGCTCGTCTTTGTAGTCTTTTAGTATTTTTATCTTTTCAGACGTCTCTTTAGATATCTTCTCTATTTTGATTCCCTGGACTCACTGTTCGCAGGCGCTTATCTATATATGGCTCTTTTCGTTGCCTTTGTCTAATACTTGGGAGATACTTACGCTGCGAGTTCCCGCATCTGTCCAACCAAATCGACCACAGTCTCCTTAAAGGGCCGATATTTCACCCCCAACTCCCGAGCTGCAGTCTCCGCATCAAACCCATAAGAGGCACTCGACTTCTCACCCGTCTTGTAATTCGTAGTCACAACATCCTTCGCCCACTCGAACTCATCGCGAATGATATCCGCAGCATATTCATACGAGAACGTCTCCGGCGAAGCAGCCACAAACCGCTTCCCACCAGCTTCGGGCGTAAGCAAAGCCTGAACATGCACCTCAGCGAGATCGCGAACATCAATCCAACCGGGCCGCGTTTCAGGAAGTGGATCTGCACCAGCGGCCACACTCCAGAGCACCATATTTGATTCGTTGAGCTGCTGCACCGTCGACACGGGGTGCACGACTGGACCGAAAACCATGGGAGGACAGAGCGTCACCAGGTCGAACTTTGTTTTTTGGTCCTTGACAAACTCCCACGCTGCGAGCTCGGCGAACTTCTTCGACCCACGGTATGCAGTTACAGCAGTGGATTTCGGATCGATGGCCTCCTCGTAAGTCAGAGGGTTCCAGTTCACGGCTGTATATGTGAATCCTGGTGCGGGAGTGCTGCTCGGGTTGATCACTGCGGAGACGGAGGATGTCAAGACAAGGCGCTGGACTTTTGATCCTGGCTTGGCGGAGGCCGAAAGAATCGACTTGACTCCGTTGATAGCGGGTAGGATTAATTCCTGCTCGTTGTTGGTGGTGTCGTAGAATAAGGGCTGTGGAACTTATTAGTTCTTTGTATTGATCAGAAGCAGAATTATTGCGAGTTGCCTACGCTTGCTACATGGATGACCGCGTCGATATCATCCATTACAGAATCGAAGACCCCAACCTGGGTGAAGTCTTCCACGACGACGAAATCAAGCTTTGAAGCGTACTGCGGACGTGCAGCTTTCATCTGATCCCCCTTTTGCTTGGATCTTGTCGAGCCTCGGACTGAGAATCCGCGAGCCAGTAGATTGTCGACAACATGGGCGCCGATGAACCCTGTGGCGCCAGTGACGAGGATGTATCTGTGATCATGAGCACTGATCAGTAGTTAGGAACAGACCGACATACGAGGGCTTTTGAGAAGACATTCTTATAGGATGTAGGTGTAGTTAAAGGTAAAATGAATATCGACAAGTGTCTTCTGGGAATGACTTTACTGTAGTATGCAGTGCACCCCGCGTGGGGGGAAATAAGATCTCAAGATCGATATCCACAGCAATTCCACATTGCTGTTAGTGTGGGGGGGAACCAGATAAGGCTGGAAATATAGTCTAGGCTGAACAGAGAAGCGTATTTTGTTGTTCTAATTCGTTGGTTATATGGTCTAGATATGCGTCTATAGGGGACATCATCTATATCTACTACATCATCACTTCCAACTCTCCTTCAGCACCTCCTCCGTTGTACGGACGATAATATCATAGGCATTACGGACATACCTCTGTTCAGCCAGAGCGTTTCCACTAATCACCCGTATAACACAGACGCCATCAACGACTGTAGAGGTGATGAAGATTTTACCTTCCGCGTTGACCAACTCGGAGACTTTCTTGGTCAGATTGTCAGCAACTTCATCTTTGGCCACGCGACCAGGCGATTCACTAGCCCCGCTAGGATTCTTGACACGGAAGACAGTCAAGCCAAAGGCTGGCTTCGTGACAATCTCAAATATATCAGACCGACCGCGCACCCAGCCAGCAAAAAGGTCACCAAACCCGATGGTCTTGCGGATGTGCGATTTCATGCCGTTGAGACCATAGCTCCGAATCACGAACCAAATCTTCAATGCGCGGAATCTGCGACCGAGAGAAATAGACCAGTTCCGGTAGTCAATTACGGTTCCCATATCCGAGTACGGGTTGCGCAGATATGCTGGTGTGACATCCAAGGCGTTCGTCAGATCCAAGCGATTCCGGACAAAGAGGACGCTAGGAATGTTAGACCAAAAGTGCAAATTTACCCACAGACACTTGGAGGAAAAGCTTACCTAGCATCAAAGTTGACTAGCAGCCACTTGTGCATGTTCGTGTTGAAGCTGTCAACACCCTCCGCAAAGTCCTTCGCAATGTACTTCCACTCATCCGCAACGAGCGCCGCACCGGCATAGGCGGCATCAATATGCACCCAGATACGCTGCCACGCCGGCTTTTCTTGTAGAACTGCCTTGATCTCTGCAAAGTGGTCCACACTGCAGGTATTTGTTGTGCCAAGGGTCATAGTGAGGTGGTACGGGACAAGTCCGTCCTTATCACACTTCTCAAGAAGCTCACGGAGACGAGGTCCAGTCATTTCCATGTTATCCTCCAGCCGCGTGGACACGCTGCGGAAGCGAGTGCCCGCAATCAAAGCACCCTTAGCAGCGCTGCTGTGGGTTTGATCACTGGCAATGGCGACCAGCTTAGCTTGGACATCGAATTTACGGTCCTCGTACTCTGGTGTACCCTCCTTCAGGCCCTCTGCAAGAACAAGCTCTCGCACACGTCTCTCCCGTGCGGCAACAATAATAGTCGCAATAGCATCACTCGCACTGTTTTGGATCACACCGCCGCCGTGGGTCTCCGATGTACTTCTAAAACACTGGGGTAGTGCCAGAGCTTTCGCGACCCAATCCATGACAATTGTCTCCATCTCCGTACATGCTGGCGAGCACAACCAGTTGAACGCAGGGGCGGTGAATGTGGCGGAGTACATCTCACCCAGAATGCTGGGGTATGTCACGCAGGCGGGGAAGTATGCCATGAAATTGGGAGACTGCCAATGGGTCAATCCGGGTTTGATCTTTGTATCAACATCTTTCTGGATTTGTGCCCAGTCCTCTGGCTCGTCCGGAGGGTTCTCTGGGATCAGAGGGCGAAGATATCCCGGCTCGACGGCGGGCAGGACTCGGAGCTCAGGTACGCTGTCGAAGTATTTGATGACTGCACAAAAGCTCGGTTAGATTTAACATTATCGAGCCCGAAGGTTGCACAAAGTTAGGACGGCTCGTACTATCATCAATGGCAGAGTGTGCTGCGGCCTTGAACTGATCATGATCCATGCTGCACGTCAACTAGATCTGCGACGCGGGGTATCTAGAGCTCAAAATGCGGCAATTGGCGGCACAGTAGAACACAGTACGGGGAGAAAGATATAGAATGAAAGTACAAGTAGAATATGTGATATTGAGGCCACAGCGAATGTTCCAAGGCAAATGTGGGAAAAGCAAACATGGAAGAAAAGGCGCGGGGAGGCCTGGAATTAATTCCGTCGGAAGTTTCCTTCCGTGTTCCGAGAGCTCGGAATATTCCGCCTTTCCAAGGAGTATATATGCCATAATTCCAAATCCACTCTCATAGCTCAATCTTCCTCTTCCTTGGGATCATAAATGTCGCCCGCAGGTGTCTTCTCTAGCCTCTTTCCATCCTCAGTCACAATCTCCTTGCTAGGGATAACCACCACAAAAACCCGAGCAACATCCTTGCCTCGATTTACCCATTCGTGGTTTGCACCGCGGCAGACAATGACATCGTGTTGATTTAGGATCTTCTCTTCGCCTCCGTCTGTGATAAATCCGACGGTACCTGACAGCACCACAGCGTAATCCAAGCTCAGTGTCCGATGGAACCAGCCTGCGTCTGCCGGGGGTAGATCAAGGACGCGACAGGAAGGACCCTTGGTGTCAGCCAGTGGGACGAGGGTTTTATGCGGATCAGAGAGCTCGCGCATATTGTCCACTGGAAAGCCGCGCGACCGGTGAATTTGGATAACCCCGAACCCAGAGTCAGGCCCCGGGGTTGAGAATGCCGGAGCAGATGTGGGATCGTATGGCGTCAGAATTTCGTCGGAAGCGAAATAGGCCTTTCCCTGAGCATCGTGGCCTGCGATAACGCGACGGATTGGGGCGTCCATGGTAAGAGAAAGAAATCTCTGGGATGAGTAATGGGCAAGAGGGATTGGGATAGTCTTTGAAGCGGGAGGCGAATATGGCAGTTGAAAAAGAAAGCAAGTGTCAGTGGGCTTATATACCTTATGGACTGAGTAAATAGCTGATTAATTAATGGAATACAGATGAACATTACCAAGCACTTCCACGATGTTGATCGTCATTCATAGGTTTGGTATGCGCTGCTTCGATTTATAATCATGGGATTGATAAGATGGGGGCCGAAAATATATGAGGCTGCAAGGAGAGAGCCTCCAGTTCGACTGCTGGCAGAAGAATCTGAATCTAGGTAGCGTGCATAGTGTTTCGAGAAAAAAAAATTCGCTGTTGTTTACCTGGGCTCATGTGGAGTTTCCCTGATCGCCTTCCTCGTCGTCCGGTTTGTCAAATCCTTCATCATATACCTCCTCTTTCAGCTCCTTCCCTTGGACACTCAACTTCTCCATTGGTAGATACACAAATAACATGCGACACCATTTGGTATCACTCCGGTTTCGGAATGAATGTGCAGTACCCCTTTGGATGCTCACATCGCCACGATGCAAATGTCGACTCGAACCTGAGTCCAGTATGAGATCAACATCCCCCTCAATTATCACACCATAGTCGACGCTCACTGTCCGATGCATCGGCGTTGCCTTTCCCGGACGGAGGTCAATCAGACGGAAAACAGTTCCGTTATCGACTGTGACTCCAGGAGGTTGATGTAAGAACTCGTCGTACATGGCGATGTCCGCCTCAGCGTCAACCGAGGCTGGCATGCTGGTAGTAGCGTACAGCAAAGCAATCTCGCCATCTTCCCCAGTTGGTGTCGACGGGAGGTAGTCGGGGACTTGCGCATGGGAAAGAAATATTGATTCGCCGTCGTTACTGTGGGTGGTGATGTAGCGGCGGATATAGGGAAGCGGGTTTTTCTCGTAAGGGGACATAATGAGCTGATAGAGATGGTATCTGAGGAAGAAAAAAGTGATATCAGGTCAGCGACTCATCAAAAGTCGCGAGCCTTAAGTTGGAAATATACCCTTGACGAAATGCTGTCACATCATGGTGGCATCATTTTATAAATCAATGCCCAAGTAGGCTTAAGCATAATTCTGTTCCAAGGTTGAGCAAAAATCAATCTAAAGTCTGCTTATTCCCTCGAGCACTTTCTTGACAATTATTCTTAATTCACTATCTTATTAATATAGGAGATTGATGTTATATTGGGGGGGGGGGGGGGGGGGGGGGGGGGGGGGGGGGGGCGCGGGGGGGGGGGGGGGGGGGGCGTGGGGGGGGGGGGGGGGTGGGGGGGGGGGGGG